GCCTCTGCCTTCTGAGTACTAGGATTAAAGGTGTTCACCACCAAGCCCAGGTTTTTGTTTGTTTGGCTGTTTTGGGTTTTTTTGTTTGTTTGTTTTGTTTTGTTTTTTGTGACAGGGTTTCTCTATATAACAGCCCTGGCTGTCCTGGCTGTTATATAGAGACCAGGCTGGCCTCAAACTCACAGAGATCCACATTCCTCTGCCTCCCAAGTGCTGGGATTAAAGGCCTGCACTACCACACTCATCCCAGTTTAGTATTTATACATTATAAACACTTACTATTATTGTATGGGTATGAGTATTTTGCCTGTATGTAAGTCCTCATCACAATATGTATTACTCTTGGAGGCCAAAAGAGGGCATCAGATCTTCTGGAATTACAGACGTTGTTAGCTAACATGTGGTACTGGGAATTGGAACCAGGTCCTCTGGAAGAGCAGTCAGTGCTGTAACCACTGAGCCATCCACCCGGCCCCCATGATTATATCTTTCTATTCTATGTCTTCCCCAGTGTCACTGAAAACTGAGAGTCTTGGTGTGCGAGCCAGCAGATCCCTATGTAAGAAGAGGATTGAAATTTCCTACAGTAAATGACCCACCTAGAAGCCATGAGTACCCTAGACCCCAGACTACGTTCTTGAAACATCATTTCCTACTGAAAAGAAGCAAACTTCTGGAGGAAGTGGCTGGTCACAAGATCCTAAAGCAGAAAGTATGCAAAACAGGTAAGAAATAGTTTGCCAGATCACAAGCCAAGCAAGCTAGCACAGACCACAGAAACACATGAAAGGAGCCTGGGAGCCACTTCTGGACAACCCCACAGGCCAACATGGGACAACCCTGGTATTCGTGAAGGTAGTATCTTTAGGGTGTTGAAACCGTCAAATATATTTCAAGCCAAAATGAAACAGTGCAAATGAGATACCACAGTAAAATGGTTAACCTGGCACTTAGGACTCTCAGTAAATTTAGATATAATTTTATGTCATAGGAGTGTAAAATGAACTTCCTTCTGTTGTTGCTGGATGACTAATTAATGCATCACACTGGGCAGTATCCAGCACAGCATAGTACTGATGGCCAGGAGTTTTGAAAATGAGGCCCGCTGAACAGTTATCTGTCCTGAGATCTCTAGACCTTACAGTACCCAGCTTTAAACTTCCTTATCCAGTTTGAATTGTGAGTGTTTACATTTCTGCATCGTTAACATCGGTGGGTACACTGTCACTTCTTTGGGCCTCGGTTTTCGTATGTGTAAGAAAGAAGAATGTGACCATGTCTCTAAGGCCGCTAACATTTCTTTTAATATCATCGCTCACAACAGGTTGACAGAACCATGAACTGCTTGGCTCTGACTTTAATCCTTCTTCTAAGAAGCCACTATGATAAACTATTGAACAAGATTTCTTCAGAGTGAGGAACACACCCTCTGACATCCCTTCATGCAGCAGTGCCTTCCATTTCTCAAATCCTCAATACAGATTTGGCAAATTAAATATAATGCTTGGTAAGTGAAGTGTGCCATGAATTAATAATGGTAAAGTTTTACGAATACTTACAACATTCTCAAGGCTCAAATGGGTCTTCAGCTGAATCAAGCAAGTACCAAACCACCATAATTAAGTGGAAATATTACTCTAAACAAAGCAATTAATTTACAAGTACTATATACGCAATCAAAACTTCCTCAGTACCCTATGGCTCCACACCAGTGCTAACTCAATTGCATTCCTTAACTTCTACACAAGAACGTTTGCCCTCCTGGCATGATGTTGCACGGCCTGGGATCCCAACCTAAGACTGGGAGCTGGAGGCCAGCCTGACCTATGTAGAGAGACTCACAAACAAACAAAAAAAATGAAAAGCTTTTCTCAAGAGGCTCCAGAGCAAAGGGTTGAAAACTCCAGTTGCCTGAGGCGCTGAGAGACAACACCGAGAGTACGTTCAGCACAATGTCGGGCAAACCTCCAAACTGTCCTTGCCCACGTAAGTAACCACAGGAGTAGCTAGGACGTTTGCTGGTATACCACACGACATAAAGAGTCGACTCGTGGCCAGAAAATAGGAAAAGGCTGTTCAGAAACCACTGAGAGGTGCCCTCGGGGATAACAGTCCTCACAGGGTTACAAAGCTCATTCTCTGGCCGAGCGGCCCTTCCACCGAGGCCCAAAGCACAGCCTGGCACACAAGCGCCCTGTCAGGGATGCAGACGCGGCGCAGCCTGGGCCGTGAGAATCTCCACGGCAGGAGACTTACCGCGGCGTCTGCGATGCCCGGGTCCTCAGGTTAGGTACCCACAGCGCACCTGCAACATGAATACGAGCTGTCAACTCTGATTCTCACTGTCTCCCCGTCCCCAAATTCTAGGAAAGCCTTAAGCCTTACCCAACTGCCGAAGCACTGCGGCCGCCATGTCTGGCCGTACGGAAGCCCCGGAGTTCAAACGCCGGGCTGACTCCACGCATGCGCAGTCCGAGGCCAGCGCCCCTCCCCCACACGCCCGGAAAGTCTGAATGCGTTGCCATGGAGACCTAGAATGCGTGGTTCGGGCTTAAAGTCTGGTCAGACAAGTCTTGCTTTAGAGTAAGTAAATGACCTCATAAAGACTGAAAATCAGTGGGTTTTCGGAAATTCACCTGTTTTCAGAAAAATTGTGTTCTCACCCATAAACAGCCTGAAACAGCAGGGGAACCTGTTAATCCCAAAGATTCGAGGCCAAAGATACAAGGAGAAAGACCACCTATCCAACTCTTCATGGCCAAATTAATTAAAGCAAGCAATTAATTAAAGCAAGCTTTTTTTTAATTTGTGTACACGAGCTAAGGGGGAACCATCCCCCTAAGGCATGGTTCGAGAGGTCATCTTCCGATGTGAGGAAGACAAGGTTGATATAGCTCAGGTAGAGGGTTTCCAAATGGGTGATTTGGTGGGCAAAATAGGTGGGGTTACAGGAGCAGAACACAAGCATAAGTTAGTTATAACAAACTCCTGAAACAAAGACATGATTACAAGGTGGTCATAACAAGGTAGTCATAACAACAGGTAGCCATAACAACCTTTTTTCTCAACAAAGGTAGGGGTGCAAGATGGTTTTGAAACAAAGACATGGTTGCCCTTTCCTGGGACAGGCAGCACAGAACCATTTGTAGTTAAGGTTACAGGTGGGGCACCGCCCAGTCCTTGAGAAACAGAGGTTTAATCATAAATAGGAATGAACCTAGTTTGTCTTTACTTATAAAATGGCTTTTAAGCCCAAGATGGAGGCAGATTGGTTCATCAAACTTCTGTCCCCAGTGAGCCTCGTTGTTCTTGCTAGAAATGACTGTAACAACAGCACGTAGGAGACTGGTGTTAAAGAGTTGTGGGTGCAAGGACACACTGTGATACTCAAGCCAGGCATGGTGGCACGTGTTTGTAATCTCAGCATATGAGAGGCTGAATAAGGAAGATCACAAGTTCAAGGTCACCCTAGACTTCAAATTCCAGACCATTCAGAACTACATAATGAGACCTTATCAAGAAAGAATGAAAGAAAAAAAAGAAAGCAGAGAAAGGGAAGAAAGAAACATCACTCTCTTTACACAAAGTTTGTGAACATTACTGAGAAAACTCAAAAAACCAAACTGCCTGGCATGGTGGCCCATACCTTTAATCCCAGCACTCAGGAGGGCAGAGGCAGGAGGACCTCTATGAGTTCAATGCCAGTCTGGTCCATAGAACAAGTTCCAGGCTAAACAGAGCTGCATAGTGAGACCCTGTCTCAAAACAAAACTAAAAGAACAAATGGGGGCAGCGAGATGGCTCAGCGGGTTAAGGAACTTCCTGCGAAGCCTGACTCTGAATTCAGTCTGCAGGCCCCATATTGTGAAAAGGAGAGAACCAATGCCTGAAGTTGTCCTCTGACCGCCATACATACACACTGTGGCATGTGAGTGCGTGTGCATGCACACACAGACACACACACACAATAAATACCAGTGTTTCAAACATGATTTACAATACCCCGTCTAGAGGGTGACTGACTAAGAGATGAGCCAATATGTTTGTGTGCACTTGCCGCCATATATACCTGCATTTTACTACATCTCCTTATTCGTCCAGCAATCCAGCAAGGCAAATATTAAGTGAGAAACATCTGAGACAGATTTGATCTGAGCTACTGGCAAAACTAGTGATCAATGTGCAGCTGGGTGCCTCCAAATTCAGTGCCCGTAGGCCATGCTAGCATATGTAAGAGCTCTCTATTAACGATAGGCATTGCAAGTTTTCATATGCCGAATTCGGGCAGGGCAAATAGCCATACAGAAGTATGGCAGAATCTGAGTACGCTGCTCTTGTTTGGGTGGTAAGGAGACTCCCATTCTTTTTTACTTCCACACCACGAGCCACACTCAGTTCTCTTCACAGCATTGGCACTCCAGCAAGCAGGAGGAGGCCCTTGGAACCCCCGTTCTTTAATCTTTGAATACCAAGAACCCAGAGTCAGAATTTCCACCCAACTGCAAAACTCTTCCTGCCCTTTCTGATTCCTAATTCATTTTATTTCTTTTGACAGGCTCTCGCACTATAACCTAGGCTGCCTGGCCTGAAGCTCGCAGCAATCCTCCTGCCTCAGCTTCTCGAGTGCTGGGATTTACACCAGAGTCCGATTCATTCTTTTAATATTTAGTTAAATACATTCTTGCAACTGTCAAAGAAACAATGTCTTGGAATTAAGAAAACAAAACAACAAAAAACCCAACTCCCAAAACTGGTAAAGTACGCCGCTACGTATCTTTAAAAAAAAAAAAAAAAATACTGGATTGGGATACTGAACTGCCCTGAGGGCTAAACCTCCGTGGCTGGTTGGCGGGTTCCACCGGTCTAATCCCTTAATTAAGGAAATGCTTAACCTCAGGGCCCTGAATTCAGTCCCAGGCAGCGCACCAGAGCGAGAGCGCAGCTTGGACCTCGGCGCGCTCCGTAGCGCCCACCTTCAGGGGCGGGGTTCAATTTGGTCCCGCCCCCTCCCGCTACACGCCGCGGTTGCGAACCACCCCACCGGAGCTGCTCGCTGAGCCTCGGCGGCCGCGGAGATGAAACCAGAGCCGCGGACGCTACCGCCGTCCCCCAACTGGTACTGCGCGCGCTGCAGCGACGCGGCGCCCGGAGGCATCTTTGGCTTCGCTGCCCGGACCTCCGTATTCCTCGTCCGCGTGGGTCCGGGTGCGGGCGCGAGCCCAGGGGCACCCCCGTTTCGCGGTGAGCCCCCCACGGGTCGGCGCCGTCTTTTCTGCCTTGCTCTCCGGGGTTTGTAGGTCGCCGGCTCGTACCACGGGCGCACGTGGGACCATTACGCTCGGAGGGGCTGGCCCGGGCTAGACCCGGCGTTTACCGCGCTCCTGGCCTTCCTCCCTTGCCAAGGCCCCGCCGGCCCCTAGGACGCCCCTTAGGCTGGGGTCTGTTCTCGGTTCCCTGCTCCCGCTGGGTGATTACAGGATGCTGATTTCTGTAGGATGAATGGGGTGAGTCTGAATTTGCGCCACATGCGGTGATGCTTGCCTGTGATTCCCAGCAACATGGGAGGCTGAGGCTGGAGGATTGCCGCGCGTTCAAAGCCAGCCTAGGCTACATAAGTGAGTTCCAGGCCAACCGTGGCAAGACCCTGACGCAAAAGAAAATGAAGCAAACACAAATCAGGGTTTGATAATGCCTTGTGTTATGAAATATCAGCTTGTTCTATTCCTGATGACCTATGGCAAGATTAAGTAAAAACAGCTTTCACGTTCACCTGTGGACTGAGACTAGTCCTCAGCCTGCGAACTTGGCCCAACTATTCATCTGCGTGTTGTTCATCCAGCAGCATGCTGTCCGATTGTCTGGATAGTGGTTTAGTTAAACAAGTCTGGTTTTACTTCCAGTTGTAGGAGAGTTGGTGGGACACACCGAAAGAGTATCCGGCTTCACTTTTTCTCATCACCCTGGACAATACAACCTCTGTGCCACCAGCTCAGATGATGGGACAGTGAAAATCTGGGATGTAGAGACTAAGGCAGTGGTGACAGAGCACTCACTCCATCAGGTAACGGTCCATCCTGAGTCCTCAGAGTGTTTTAATACGTCTCATCCATGTGAAGGAATGTTAATAATTTGTGTTCATTAGTTAGATATGTTGGAAGGTCTTCCAAAACCTTTTAAAGATGCATTTTTTTCTTTTGAAAATAGAGCTTAAAGTAGGGGATATAACTCAGTCAGTAGAGTGATTGCCTAGCATACACAGAGCCCTGGGTTCAACCCCTAGAACTGCATAAGTGGGCATGATGGTGCACACCTGTAATCCTAGCACTTGGGAAATGGAGGCAGAAAGATGAGGATTTCAAGGCCTGTCCGGTCTACAGGAGAGATCCTGTCTGGGGGTGAGGGGGGCAGACAGACCACAAGTTAACTATGCTGCCTATTTATAAAGCTAATACTAAGTATGGCTACATGTAGTCACTACATCTTTTATGTATATGGGTAGTTTTTCTTTTTCTTTTTTTGTTTGTTTGTTTGTTTTTCGAGACAGGGTTTCTCTGTGTAGCCTTTGGAGCCTGTCCTGGAGCTCACTCTGTAGACCAGGCTGGCCTCGAACTCTCAGAGATCCACCTGACTCTGCCTCCCGAGTGCTGGGATTAAAGGCATGCACGACCACTGCCTGGCATGGGTAGTTTTTTCTATGTGTATGTCTGCACACCAGAAGAGGGCATTCAGATCCCATTATAGACAGGTGTGAGCTACCTTGTGAGTTCTGGAAATCAAACCCAGGGCCTCTGAAAGAGCATCCAATGCCTTTAACCGCTGAGCCATCTCTCTAGCCCCTAGCTGCTTTCATGATAGAATAACAGAGTTCAGCAGTGACAGTCCTATAGCATGACCTACAAAGTCTGACAGAGTCAATAGTTTTATATAACATAAACACCTGGGCAGATAAGAGGGCTTTCCAGGGCAAAGTGCTTGTCACATAAGCCTGATGACCTGAGTTTTGATATTTTGTTTTCTTTCATTTTATTTTGTATGTGTGTGAGTATTTTGCCTGTGTGCCTGGTGTCTGTGGTGATGAGAAGAGGCGAGAACTGAAGTTACTGAAGGTTGTTGGCCGCCATCTGGGTGCTGGGACCAACAAGTACCCTTAGCCACTGAGCCATCTCTCCAGCTCCCTAGGTAGTTTAATCTCTGGGACCTACATAAAAGTAGAAAGAGACTACTAGCTCCATGAGTGTACCGACATGTGCTCAGCTGTGGCACACGCTCTCCACAGCCCATTAAAAAACAAAACAAAACAAAACAAAAAAAAAAACCCAGCAACTTTGGGACTCGTGGGTGAAAGCTTCCTGCTCTCCCAAAGGACCCAAGTTGGATTTTCATCACTCACAACTAGCTCCAGGGAACTCAGTGCCCTCCGGCAGCCTCCTCCACATACAAATGCATGGCGCATGAGTTTGCAGAAACACACATAAATAAAAGTGTGCGTGTGTGCCCAGAAAGCCAGGCATGGCAATCCTAGTACTCAGGAGACTGAGGCAGGAGGATCACTCTGAGTTCCAGGCCACCCTGGACTACAGAATGAGGCTGTGTCTCAAAAACACACAAAAAGTTCTCACTTTGGATTCAATATATCACTCTACAGGTAGTTCTAGCACAGTTCCTAAGTGCCTGTAATGTGCCTAACATTGGGCTAGTTTATAGTACTACATTGACAGGTGAGACTCATCTGGCTTTGCTTTGTTTGAAGCATACAATATCAGCACTGCATTGGTCTCCAACGGTTAAGGACTTAATAGTCTCTGGGGATGAAAAAGGAGTTGTTTTCTGTTACTGGCTTAACAGAAATGACAGCCAGCACCTCTTCACGGAGCCCAGGACCATTTTCTGTCTTACGTGTTCGCCTCATCATGAAGATTTAGTAGCCATTGGGTGAGTACCAAGTACTGTGCTGTCTGTTGATGGTTTATCTGTTGATGGTTTGGTTTAATTTATGGTCATGCTTTTCATTCTCCTTGCCTTGTATGCCTCAGTCCTCAGAGGAAGCCTTCTGTCCTGGTGTCATGTGATCTCCAGATCCATGCTTTTCTCCCTCTTACCATGATACTATGTTTTCTCCCCTCTTTCCATCTAATTTTTCCAGTCACCCTCCCAATGTTAGGAGCATATTCTTTCTCTCTTGGCTAACTTATACTATCCTTGGATGTGACATTAACTCCAGAGTGTCGCATGACTCTGTGCTGGGTCTGGCACCACAAACCTGAACTAGGGATACATGTATCCTAACATGCACCTCACAAACAGAACAGACAAAGAAAGCCAGCTTTATGATACCATTTATGAAGCTTTTGGATGTACAAAATAAAATTGTCTCTTAGTTGGAAACATTGATAAAGAAAGTCTAGGGATGATAGATTACAAATCAGAAACATTGGCTACCTCTCAGAAAGCAAAGCAGAAATTTGGTAGGAGGAGGTATAAGCTGTTTGGGTGGTTAATTTTTTTTTTTTTCTTTAAGCTAGGAGTAGATACTTTAAGGCATTGGTTCTCAACCTTCCTAATACTGCTACCCTTTAATACACTTCCTGGTGTTGTGGTGACCCCCAACCAAAAATTGTTTTTGTTGCTACTTTGTAACTAATTTTGCCACTGTTAATGAATCATAATGTAAATATCTGAAGGTTTTAGGCTACCCTGTGAAAGGCTCTTGATTCAGATTGAGAACTGCTGGTGTAAGGTTTGCTGGTTGGTTTTTGTTTGTTTTTAACATGGATGGATATTTTACCTGCATGTTTGTGCACCATGTGCTTGCAGTGCTCTAGGAGACCAGAAGAGGGCAGCAGATCCTTTAGGATGAGAGACATGATTGTGAGCCCCCTTGTGTTGCTGGGACTTCAGGTCCTCAGGAAGAACAGCCAGTGCTCTCAACTGCTGAGCTATTGCTCCAACCCCCAGTGGATACTTTTTAATGTGTCCAAAAAAATTCACTTTTTAAAAAGCTATTAGAATTTCTCATTTTCTTATCAATTCATAGATTAATGTGTAGGACAAATACAGCTCTAGAGTACAGTACGTCTTAGGGCTTCTGTTGGTATGAAGAAACACCATGACCACAGCACCTCTTAGAAAACATTTAATGGGGCTGGTTTACAGTTCAGAGGTTTAGTCCATTATCCTCATGGCAGGAAGCATGGTAATGTGCAGGCAGACATGGTGCTGGAAAAGGAGGTGAGGACTCTACATCTTGATCTGGAGGCAGCAGGAAGAGACTGCCACACTGGGTGTGGCTTGAGCATCTGAGACCTCAAAGCCCACCCCCAATGACATACTTCTTCCACCAAGGCCACATCTATTCCAACAAGACCACAGCTCCTAATAGTGCCATTCCCTGTGGGCCAAGCATTCAAACACTTGAGTCAATGGGGGCCATTTCTGTTCAAACCACCACATAGTATAACAGTTCTTGTTAGGTTTGTAAGTGGAAAGTATTACCAATTGTAGAGCTAAAGATGGAGCTCCTCTGGTAGAGTGCTTGTCTAGCATGTACAAAGTCCTGGGTTCAGTCCCCAGTACTGCATTAAGCAAATATGTTGGCTCATGCCTGTGATCTCAGCACTTGGGAGGTGGATACAGGAAAATCAGAAGTTCCTTGGCACATCGTGGGATTGTGGCCAGTCTGGGATGTATGAGGCTATCTCAAAAAAAGAAGAAGAAAAGTTGATTAGTGAGCTGTCTTTATTTTTTAGTAACATTTCTAAATAATTTGTCTCACCTTTCCGGGCAGCAGCAATACATACAAGCTGTAAATCCAGTGGGTACTGGGAGGAGGGGCGGAGAAGAGGGGAAAGTCATGTCTTTTGAGTTAGCATCAGCCCTGGAGGTCTGCAAATGGCTGTACAAGGAGGCAGGGCATGGTGGGAAGGAGTCTTCAGAGAAGAGAGCGGAATCTAGACCCAGGTCAAGCATGCGTAGGATTTGAGCTGGTATCTGAAGAGACAGAAAGGAAGAAAAGGGAAGATTCTGCTGCTTGGGTTAGAGCTCAGAAAGGTGAGCGGCTTAGCAGTGTGAATCTGCAGGCCCCTGCAATATTTCTACCTTACTTTTCAGCTACAAGGATGGTATAGTGGTTATCATTGACATCAGTAAGAAAGGAGAAGTCATTCACAGGCTTCGAGGTCATGATGATGAAATCCACTCCATAGCCTGGTGTCCTCTGTCTGGTGAAGACTGCTTATCCATACACCAAGAGGAAAACTCCGGTAAGACGATCGAAGGAGCTTCTGTTCTCTTTAGACCTAAACAACTAAGTGTAGGATTGCAACTTCTAAATTATATGTAAAACTCGAGCCGCACAGATCAGACTAGGAAGGGGAGAGCTGAGTTTTGGGAAGTAACTTTTTTCTGTCACAAGTGTGTGTTCACTGTAAATTAAAAATAAAATTGCCATCTCTTTCCTAGAAGAACCCAACATTCCCAATGGGAAACTGATAACAGAAACCCCCATTACAAAAGGCTGCTACTTAGCCACGGGAAGCAAGGATCAGACCATTCGAATCTGGAGCTGCTCCCGAGGACGGGGTAAGGTTGATGCCCAGTGTTGTCCTGCGTTCATTTTAAAGATTGATTGGCTTTTATTTTATGTCTATGGGTGTTTTGCACGCACATGTCTGTGTACTATGTATGTGCTCATGAAGACCAGAAGAAGGCATTGGATCCTCTGGGAACTGGAGTTATAAACTGTTCTTGGTCACCATGTGGGTGTTGGAAACAGCGTGGCGTTTCTAGAAAAGCAGCAAGTCCTCTTAACTGATGAGCCATTTTTCTCCAGCTCCCTTACCTACCTTCTGTTGTTTTAGAGAAGTCAGAATGAATTTGAAGCATTACATCCACAGTTGGGGGTGGGAGGAGATGCCTGCACACCTACTGCTCAGCTTTCTCTGCCCGTAAGGAAGTTCAGGACCTAAACCAAGGATGGTGCCGCCCATCGTAGGCTGTGTTCTAGCTTCCTTTCTGTTGCTCTGATAAAAGGAAGGGGCGATTTTATTTCAGCTTATAGGTGGCAGTCTGTCATTGAGGGAAGTCAAGGCAGGAACTTGGGGCAGAAACCATTCAGTGGAGGAATGCCACATGGTGGCTCACTCCCTGGCTTATGCTTAGCTGGCTTTCTTGTACAGCCTGGGACCATCTACCGAAGGATACATCCCATAGTCAGCTGGGCCCTCCTGTATCTGTTGTCGATCTAGACAGTCCCCCACAGACATGCTCAGAGGCCAAACTAACCTAGATAATACCTCGTCGAGACTCTCTCCCAGGTCTTCTGTGTTCTGTCTCGGTGTCTCTTCCTTCGGTGTGAAAGCCTGTCCTGCTGCAGTCGAGTTAGCTGCTTGTTCATCGTATTCCAAGAACATCATCTGTCCAAGATCTGTTACCAGAAAGTTGTTGTCTCTTGTGTCCTGGTTAGAGCTCTCTGTTCTGGACATCTGGCTTTCGTTTCTTTTGTATTCTGGTGTCGTCCAGAAGGCAAGGACCCCTGCTTTGCTGAAGGAGTCCTGCCTGCCATGCAAAGCAAGGCTGTCCTAGAACTTGCTATGTAGACCAAAGTGACCTCAGACTCACAGAGATCCACCGGAGAGCAAGATCTTTACTGTAAGAACAGGACTAATGGGCTTTCCTTGACTCTTAAGAATGGAAAAAACCCGAGTTGTAACTCCCAGAGACAGATGCAGGGCAGGTGGTACAGACCCAGAATGCCCACTGTGCACATGAACAAGCTTGCTGCGTTCACATTTTTATTTATGGCTGTTGGGTAGAGGGTATGTGTGTTTGAGGGTCAGGCAGCTCTGAAGTCGGTTCTCTCCTCATACCTTTATGTGGGTTCTGGGGATCAGACTCAGGTCATCAGATTTGTGTGGCGAGCACTCTGACCACTGAGCTATCCTGCCAGCATCACCACTTTATTCAAATGAACCTAAACACACCTCCCTGACTGGACCTCCCAGGACACCTGTCTGAGGATCCCTGAACATGATGGCTGTGCACAGTGGTCCTGGATTCCCCTTGTACAGCAGACCTGCTGGAGAGTACTGGGAAGTTCAGTTTTCTGGACTCCACTTGAGATCTCCTGAATTGGATCTCTGAACTCAGACCCTGGCATGTGTGTTTGTAATACTGTGCTTGTTCTGATGAACAGTACAGGTCTCTGGGTCAGTACTGGTGGAGGTTTCCCTGACACCGTGTGTCGACTGCCAAATTTGCCCGTTAGAGTTATAGCCAACCAGGACTGTGGTTCTCAACCTGGGGGTCAAACCCCTTTGAAGGGCAAATGACCTTTTCAGAGGGGTTGCATATCAGATATCCTTCATATCAGATATTTACATTATGATTCATAGCAGTAGCAAAATTACAGTTATGAAGTAGCAATGAAAATAATTTTATGGTTGGAGATCATCACAGCATGAGGAAGGTTGAGAACCACTGCTCTAGGAGAATTCCACTGTCCTGCAATTGTTGAAAATCTCAGTTAGGTTCTCATTCTAATTAGGAACTCATTTTTCCACACAAAAATGTTCCCATGTGTGTATGTTTATGTGTGTGCACATGCATCTGCAGGCCAAAGGATAACCTTCGGTGTTATTTCTCGGGTGCCATTTAAAAAAACGATTTCTCACTGAGTTGGAACTTGACAAGTCGGCTAGGCTGGATGGTTAGCCAGAGAGCTCGGCTTCTGCCTCCCTAGCATGTGGACAGGCATATGCTACCATGCCTGGTTTTGATATGGGTCCTGGAGATCAAAGTCAAGTTTCAGTGCTTGCAAGGCAATCACTTTGTGAAGTGGGCTGTCTCCCCAGGCTGTCCCAGACAAAGATACTCTTGATTTTTCATGTTTCCGAATAGCCTGTAAAAGCTCATTTGGCCTAAATAGCTAGATTGGAATTAACCTCTATCTAGTGTGTCTCCATAACAAAAGGAGGTGTTCCTTGTGTACGCACATGTTTGGAGGTGATGTTAGGTGTCTTCCTCAGTTCTTCATGTTTGGTTGTTGTTGTTTCTCTTGGCCTTGTTTTTTGAGACAGGATCTCACTGAACCTACCTCCCAGTGATGAGGCTAGACTAGCAGCTGGCCAGCAAGCTCCCGGGATCTGCCTGGGTCTGCGCCCACACTGCAGCATATTTCTTTTTAATGGGTGCTGGGGGCCTGAGTTAAGGTCCTCAAGCTTGCATGGCAAGCTCTTCGCTGAGTCACCTAGCCCCTGGGTTTTACTATAACTTAACCAAACAGCTTGTAGACCATAGAATTGAGGATTTCTGGGAGGGTGAGTTTCCTTTTTCACTGTTTGGAGAGAGCATTGACTCTCTTCTAATCGACAGGTATAATGGTTTTGAAATTGCCCTTTCTGAAGAGAAGAGGAGGGGGTGTGGACCCAACAGTTAAAGAACGTCTTTGGTTGACACTTCATTGGCCTAAGAACCAGCCAACACAGCTGGTATCCAGTTGTTTTGGGTAAGTCTTGGGGTTGTGCTTTCTAGTAAATACTATTTTCCTGTTCAGATTTGGAAATTCCCCAGGCTTATTGTATATTCAGGAAATGGAGAAATAGGTGGCCCACACCTTTAATCCCAGCGCTTGGGGAGGCAGAGGCAAGCAGATCTCAAGTTCGAGGCCAGCCTGGTCTACAGAGTGCGTTCCAGGACAGCCAGGGTTACACAGAGAGACTCTGTCTTGGAAAAAAGAAAAGAAAATGGAGAAATAGCCAGGGTTTATGTTATCATTATAATTCATCTTTTTTTTTTTTTAAAGATTTATTTTATTATGTATACAGTGTTCTGCCTACATGTATGCCTGCAGGTCAGAAGAGGGCGCCAGATCTCATTACTGATGGCTGTGAGCCACCATGTGGTTGCTGGGAATTGAACTCAGGACCTCTGGAAGACCAACCAGTGTTCTTAACCTCTGAGCCATCTCTCCAGCCCAATTCATCTTTTTTTTTAAAGACAGGGTCTTACTTATGGCACAGATTGTCCTAGAACTCAGGATCCTCCTGCCTCAGCTTCTCAAGTGCCTCACTTTGCCCAGCCATCTTGGCATAATAAATGAAATGATAGATGGGAAAATTTGTGAGGCCTGTGCTGTTTACTAACAGAATCATGGCTCCCTGGGGTGTCTTTACAGGCTGAGCCATCTCTTTGCCTTGCCTACCGCCGCCCCTCCTACCACATACGTGCTAGTTGAAAACCCTAGGTGGTTTGACTTGAGCTGCTCTGTGTTCCCTGGTTCAGTTCATTGGCGTAAGCCACTGATAAAACTCACCTATTTATATTGATATTCGAGAGGATACAGTTGAGATTCGCAGGGCAGCATGTGGGAGAGAAGAGGCCTCTCCAGTCCTCCTTTGACTTTTATGGAATCATTGTTACACACATGTAGCTGGAGTTTTCCTGCCTGGCCCACAGTCAGGATAAATCTCTCTCACCTGCCAGTCCCACAACCGCTCAGACCCGACCAAGTAAACACAGAGACTTATACTGGTTACAAACTGTATGGCCGTGACAGGCTTCTTGCTAACTGTTCTTACAGCTTAAATTAATCCATTTCCATTAATCTATACCTTGCCACATGGCTCGTGGCTTACCGGCATCTTCACATGCTGTTTGTCATCGTGGCGGCTGGCAGTGTCTCTCTGACTCAGCCTTCCACTTCCCAGCTTTATTCTCCTCCTTGTCCCGCCTACACTTCCTGCCTAGCCAATGGCCAATCAGTGTTTTATTTATTGACTAATCAGCAACACATTTGCCATACAGACCATCCACAGCACACACATGTAATTGATGAAGCCATTAGTGACCAGCTTATCTTGATCCCTCCCCTTTCTTAACATTGGGCTGGGACTGCAAGTCACTCCTTTATCCTGCCTGGGTTTGCTGAGTGACCAGCCTACATCTTTTAGCCACATTGAGGCTGCAGCTATCAGCTTCATGTGCAAAAGATACTGCTTCAGAGATGCAGGCCGGAAAAGAGCAAAGACGAACTATATATTTCACAGTGCCAAAGACACTGAGAGAATTCCACAGGCTAATTCCTTTATTTTAAATAAGACATATAGAAAAACTTGCAAACTACCCAGAATGTTAGCCACATCCCCTCCTTACATCTACCACCTCAAAAATGATAAATCTTGAAGTTTGCAAGTTTTGGTTGACTTTTATAAATTAAAGCTAAATATGAAGAGAAATGTCTTTAAAATATAGTACATGGACATGGTAGCCCATGCCTAAAATAATCAGTCCTCTGGAGGCTGAGGCAGAACCATCTTCAGGCTAGCCTGGGATATATAGCAAGACTCTCTCTCCAAAAAAAAAAAAAAGATTTATTTTTATGTGCATTGGTATTTTGCCTGCATTGTCTGTATGTCTGTGTGAGGGTGCCAGGTTTCCTAGAACTGGAGTTACAGACAGTTGTAAGCTGCCATGTGGGTGTTGGGAATTGAACCTGGGTCCTCTGGAAGAGCAGCCAGTGCTCTTAACCACTGAGCCATCTCTCCAGCCCCTCAAAAAATTTTTCAAAAAAGTAGTCCTGTACATTGAAATTTCAAGAGTAAAAGCACCTGTGTCCTTCCCTCCACTACCTTCCAGAGGCTTCTTTTTCCTCCTGTAGAGAAGAGTAAAGGGCGCATGTTGCAGTATCTCTGCTTCGTTTTAAATATTTCAAAGAATTCCTTATTTATTGTATGTGTTTGCACATGTATGCCGTGGCATGTGTGTGGAGTTGAGGGGACAACTTTGAGGACTTGGTTCGTTCTTTCCATCATGTGGATTCCAGAGATAGGACTCAGGTCAGACTTGGAAGTGCTTTACCCATGGAACCACATCACCAGCCCTTTGTTTATATTTGTTGTTGATACTTGTTTGTTGGGAAAGGGTATCACTATGTAGTAGTGGCTAGCCTGGAACTCTATATAGATCAGGAGGGTCTCAAACTCAGGGCTCTACCGCCTCTGCCTCCCAAGTGCTGGCATCAAGAGTATGCACCACCACACCTGGCCCTTGTTTAATGTTTGAAGGTTCTCATTTTGTGGTAGAGCTGTCCTTGAACTTGTGATCCTCCTGCCTCAGCTGTCCCAATAACTGAGTTCAAAAAGGTGCACACCACCATACCCAACACAAAAAAGTTTGGTTTTGGTTTGGTTGTTTTTGTTTTTCAGGGGTGGGGATAGGCAGGTTCTGTGTAGCTGTGGCTGTCTTGGAACTTGCTCTATAGACCAGGAACTCACAAGGCTCCACATCTGTCTCCTGAGTGCTGAGATTCAAGGCATGCACCACTGCCACCACAGATCTGTTTGGGCATACACTGAACTTGTAAAACAGAAGTGTGGCCACCAAGGGAGGGGGCATGCAGCAGGCCCAGCAGTTGGGTCCGACAATTTAAGCTGGTTGTAAGCTCTGTCAGAAACTCCTCAGCCCATTTGTAGATTCTGGAAGAGTATTCCCTGTGGCAGACTCCATTTTCCTTGTGAGAGCTTCCTGTCAGGGAGCCTCTTGAGCTGAGAAAAGGACTTAGTCTCTTTCCTCAACCATACTAACCTTTTGGACTTGCAAGTGACCAAGGGAACATTTATCACTTTCTTCTACCACTGAGGTTCCAGAGCTGGCTAGACAACCACAGTGTGACAGCTGGTGAGAGGTGTGCTCTTGTTCTTTCAGAGGCGAGCTGCTGCTGTGGGACCTCACCCAGTCATGGAGACGGAAGTACACGCTCTTCAGCACCTCAGCAGAAGGGCAGAATCACTCCAGAATTGTGTTCAATTTGTGTCCTCTGAAGACTGAGGATGGCAAGCAGCTGCTACTGTCCACATCCATGGACAGAGATGTAAGAAGTCGTTTCTGCTTTTGTTCAGAGTCACAGGGCCGGGGTTGGAAGGTGTCTGTCCTCACCCACATCTCCACATTCCAGTTCAGAGCCCCTGCTATCAAGTACACTGCATATGGCAACAGCAGAGGCTGTGAAGAGCAGCCAGAGGCACTGGTGTGGTTTTTTGAGACAGGGTTTCTCTGTGTAGCTTTGGTGCCTGTCCTAGAACTTGCTCTGTAGGCTGGCCTTGAACTCATAGAGATCTGCCTGGCTCTGCCTCAGTGCTGGGATTAAAGGCATGCGCCACCACCACCCGGCTAGAGATGCTTTTTAGAGACAGGTCTCTAGCCTAGTCTGGCTTTGAATTCCCCATTAATTTGAACCTCTGATCCTTTGGCCTCCACCTTCCAAGTGCTGTAACCACACCTGGTTGTAGTGGGGATTGGAGCCACTGCTTCATGGTAAGCAGATGCTCTACGAGCTGAACTGCGGCTCTAGTCCTGGATTTAGGCATCATTTTTCTCCTGCACGCCCCCAGGTGTGAAGTGCATGACTTGTCAGCAGCTCTTGATGGAGGCCATGCACGTTCTTCCAGAGTTGTGAGAGAGGGGGTTAGCAGTACCATGACCTGGGGAGATGGCGAGCCTGGGTTCTCCATTACTGACTGGGCTGCAGGGTGCCGATTCACTGAACATGCCTGGGAGTGGATGTGCTCCTAGAGAGATTTGAGCTTTGTGATAAATTGCAGATTTGTTTGCTCATAAGAGAAGCTTCTTACAGTTCCCTCTGGAAGAATTAAATCTCATTTGAAATATTTAATTCTTAACCCCCATTTCTTTGCTTTTTTGAACCTTTACTCTTTTTTAGGTAAAATGTTGGGACATGGCCACCCTGGAGTGCTGCTGGACATTGCCTTCTCTTGGAGGTTTTGCCTACAGCCTGGCTTTTTCTCCTGTGGACATGGGCTGCCTGGCCATAGGTGTTGGGGACGGCATGATCCGGGTGTGGAATACACTCTCCATAAAGAACAACTATGATGTGAAAAACTTCTGGCAAGGAGTCAAGTCCAAGGTTACAGCGGTAAGGAGACTTCTTGGAGATTTTTTTTCAGATTCTTTTTAGATACTGCTGGAAATCAAAGGATGTTTAAAGGTATCTGTCATGAAGTAAGAACTTCTCACTGTCTAAGCTCTGAATGGTCTAGACTCTTTCGTCAGCTCAGAGTACTGTGAGATGGCTTAAATGTTTGAGGTGTGTGGGATTGGCCCTGGGTTGTGTTGAACAGTCAGAATGCAGTGATTTTAACTGTTGCTGTTTTTCTTACTGCATTTGTTTGTTTGTTTGTTGTGGGAGTCTAGCTCCCACCTTTTGAAGAGTTCTTAGGTAGAGGAGAAAGGAATTAGGAAATGATAGAAAGGGAGACCTAGCTGATGTGAGGAAAGACAGAAACAAAGGATAGCTTTGGGAGGGCCTGGATCAATACCCACCAGCCTCGTCCTTTATTGAAAAGGGCTTTTTATAATATGCCCAGGGGAGAGGCAAAAGACTTCCTCCCCCCATGCAAGCACACCACATAGCCAAATGTAGACCCTTCCAAACACCTGGTAACCACGCCCGTGGTCAAATCATCCATTATACAACCCTGCTAGGTAAAGCAAGCTCAGATTCTCTGACCCTGAGAATCACTAGGAAGCCTCTGTGGGCTCCCACAGTTTGTGTTTTGGGGGTCAGTTCTTCCTTCTTCATGTGGGTCTTAGGAGGTTGAACTCAGGTGGTGAAGCTTGGAGGCAAGTGCTTTTACCTGCTGAGTCCTTATTGGCCCTTCTTGTTTTAATCCTTCTTTTTCTTACTAAACAATGAGAATTAAATGAAGAGCAAGAAAGTTTTCCATGCAATGGTCAGGACTGCAGATTGACTCCTTTATGGGTACTCCTCTCTCATCTGGAAACTTCTCTTGTAGCTATGCTGGCACCCAAACAAGGAGGGCTGCTTGGCGTTCGGAACTGATGACGGGAAAGTGGGATTGTATGACACCTGTTCCAACAAGTAAGTTTGACTCTCCCTCAGCTCAGTGAGCAGGGCACCTATGATGTCAGATTGTCAGAAACCTGGCACTCAATAAAGCTGTTATAGAGTAGAATCTTTTGGCTCTGATACTGAGGTTCAGAACTCGGAATTTTCTTTAAAAACTTATTTGAGAGGCTGAGGATGTAGCTTAGTGGGAGAGACCTTGACTAGCATGCCCAGTGTCCTGGATTTAATATCTAAGACTCATAAAGTGAGAGATGGGGTGCACATCATTACTTCCAGCATTTGGGAGGTAAAGGCAGAAAGATCAAGGGTTACAAACCAGCGTGATATACACAAGAAACCCTGTCTCAAAAAGGAAGAAAAAGAATGAGAAAAAATGAGTTTTCCAGGTGATGACAGTGTAGCCTGACTGGTATTTAAGAACTATCAACGTGGGCTGGAGAGATGGCTCAGCGGGTAAGAGCACTGGCTGCTCTTCAGAGGACCTGGGTTCCGTTCCCAGCACCCACATGGCAGCTCACAACTGTCTGTAACTCCACTTCCAGGGGATCTGATACTCACACAGACATATGTACAAGCAAAACATCAGTAAAATAAATAAACAAAAACCATTAAATAATTTTTTTTAAAAAGCCACCAAGATAAACCAGTGGCTTTTTGTACAAAAGTTTCCAGATACATACAAAGCTGCAAGACTAGTGGACATGTGCCTTTTCTGTTTTATCTGTGGTTTTTGATGTCTCCTGTGATCAGTCTCAGAGATAGGGATATAGTTGACTTGTAGAGCATCTGCCCAGCACCAAAAAATACAAAACAAAGATGAGGCTGGGCATGGTGGTGCCCGCCTTTAATCCCAGCACTTGGGAGGCTGAGGCAGGTGTATATAACTCTTGAGTTGGAGGCCAGCCTGGTATGTATAAGGAGACACTTTTCTCAAAACAAAAACAACCAAAAGCAAACACAATGTGAAGGTGGCATTCTGTATAGTTGTAAAGTCCTGTTATGACTGAGAAAGTTTCAGACTTTGGTGATACGCTGACATCTGGAATTAGACATATTCTGGATATTTTCTGTTTTCTGAGATCATTTCTGTTGGGTTTTGGTTGTCTCTTAGCTGTCCTTTTCTCTGGAATACCCACTTCTTTCAATAGTATGGGTGCATTTCCAAATCTTAGCGCATTTTCTAACCTCTTCATCTTGTACTTGTCTGGCTGTTTCTTTTTGGCTGGAATTCATCTCCTGATGCCAGTTTTTCTGTTCCCTACTACTTACTGCACAAGCTGCCTGTCTCTGAGTAATCCTTAGCATGGTGTCCGGATTCTGGAAGAGCCATGAGCCCAAGTGTGATATGCTGTGTGTGTCATATATGGTCTCAGCATTTCTAAGGAGTGTAAAATAGAGCTGGAGAAAGGGTTTAGGGCTTGAGAGTGCTGGCTGCTCTTCCAGAGGACCCGGGTTCTGTTCCCTGCACCCACATGGTGGCTCACAGCTGTCTGTAACTCCATTCCCAGGGGATTTGATGCTGTCTTCTGACCTCCATGGGCAACCAGGCACATATTTGGTACACAAATGGATACAAAATGCCCATGTTCTTAAAGTCAAAAATAACTTTTTTAAAAAAGAATATAAAGTAGCTTATGAGTAACTTTTGGTTTTTGGAGACAGGGTTTCTCTGTGTAATGGAACCGGATTTGTAGATCAGGCTGACCTCAAACTCCTGAGTGCTGGGATTACGGGCCTGTGCCACCACTGCCCGGCTGTAATCTTCATTTACACTGGCCGCACTTCAAATCACAAGAGTAGCATATGGCTCAGGGTGTTCCTTTCTAAATGTGGGAATGGGATAGAGTCAGTGTTCCATGGCATAGGAAGAAGCTGGATGGTGGTCTCAATGTGTGTAAATAAAATTCTGCAGGAATTTATCCATGTTCACTGATTACATCCTGCTGACTGCTTCCACACCACAGCACCCACATGGCTGCCACGCCTGACCTGCCAGTGTCTCTTGGGAAAGGATACAAGAGCCATTTCTACTACAGGGCTACCCTCTCTGCGTGTCCTTCCTCCCTCTGCCATACCTCTCTGTCTCTTTCTTTTCTTTGCTGTGCTAGGGATCTGTCCTAGTTACTTTTCTACTGCTGTGATAAGACACCATGACCAAGGTCACTTACAAAAGAAAGAGTTTAATTTGGGGTTCACAGTTCCAGGGGGTGAGTTCATGACCAGCATGGCAGCAGGCAGGCATGGCGCTGGAGCAGTAGCTGAGGCAGGGAGAACTAACCTGGGAATGGTGCTGGCTTTTGAAACCTCAAAGCCCATCTCCAGAGACACACCTTCATCAGGGACACACCTTCCCAAACAGGACCAAGAATTCAAACATAGGAACCCATTGGGACCACTCTCATCCAAACCACCATAGGCCTCATGAATGCTAAATCATCCAAGTCAATTCCCCAGTCTATATGCAACTGCTTGACTAGTTCTCCATTTTTGCTGAAATACTCTTTCAAAGGAGTATATAACCAAACAAAATGATGTTGATATAAGTAGCACTAAGTCATCCCATAAGCTGAGTAGTCATGCTACCAGAAGTTAAGCCGTGAGGGAAGACTGAAGGTGTCACTGATAGGCGTCAGGATGGTTTATTTTGTTGCTTTGAGCCAAAGGGATTTGTACTGTGGGTGCTGTAAGTGTGTCTGATACTTCAGTACCATGCCTCCTTCCACGCAGGTTCTGGAGTTCTAAATCCATACCTAGACTATGATTGACTCTAAAAGTCCTAATAGTGATGTTTTTTCCCAAGAAGTCAAGCCTGGATGCCCCTAAGAGCAAGAGCCCCTTGGAATACAGTAAAAAGCTTTAGGGATCTGTCTTCTTTCAGGTTTTATTGCACTTTAAGAATGTGGTGCTGGGGGGCTGGAGAGATAGCTTAGTGGTTAAGAGCACTTGCAGCTCTTCAAGAGGACCCATGTTCAAGTCCCAGCACTTACACAACAGCTTAAAACTTTGTAACTCCAGTCTAGGGGTTCCTATACCCTCTTCCGGTCTCTGCCAGCAGGCACGCACATGATAAATAGACATACATGCAGAAAAAATATCCACAAAACAAGAATGTGGTGCTGGCTGGAATTGGCTTGGTGTTGCATACCTCTAATCCCAGCATTCAGGAGACAGAGGCAGATAGATCTCTCTAAGTTCCAGGGCAGCCAGAGCCATGTAGTGAGGCCCTGTCTTATGGGGGGGCAGGGGGGAGGGGTGGCCTGTCATCCCTCAGGTTGAGTGATTATGGTTATCATAGCCTCTGTACTCCTTCGTAGCTTCAGAACTGCCAAATAGCTAGGCGTTGCTTTACTATGGGCTCTTTAGAGAAACAGAAGAGAAAAATGATTCTAGCTGGCCAGGTGGGTGGGCAGTGCACTCAGGACTTGTTTTGGTGGTGGACATTATTACATAGTAAGTTAAGTGTTTGCTTTTTAACAACCAACTATTTGAGGCAAAGTTAAATTGTTTTTCTCTGATACCAACAACCACATGTACAGGAAGCACTTTTCAGAGAAAGATGGTCTGTTTTCTAATGGGCCTCTTTATTCAAGTCATCCTGTTTTCCCCATCCACAGACCTCCACAGATTTCAAGCACATATCATAAGAAGACTGTGTACAGGTTGGCTTGGGGGCCACCAGTCCCCCCAATGTCACTTGGTAAGTGTGAGTCATTCTTAACATACATGAGTATATTCTTCCCCTTTAATTCTAATTAGAGTCTGAAAGCTGGTGTATGTCTGTTTGTGTGCATGTGTGCACCATGCCTCCAGGAGTCTGTGAGAGCAGCAGAGGTGGGTGATCATGATGGATAAAGGAAAACCTTGACTCTCGCCTCCCCCAGCTCTGAAATATTGCTCATTTTCCATTGCACAGAGTAACTGCAGGCTGGGTGCTGGCCTTGGGTTGCTAAGGTCTGTCTCTCCTGTAGCCCTGCCTCTCCTCACTTTCCTACCCTGGCTGCTGCTGCTTTCCCTTAAGTAATGTGTCTTCTTACTATCTTTTCAAATGAGTCACAAGTTTTCCACACTCGTTGTGCGTGGATTCCCTAGCACTAGCCTTGTGTCCAGAGTAGAGAGTTGTGTGACAGACAGGAGGCTAGCTTTACAGCAATTGCTGTGCCCTGGGACCCTCCTTGGTCATGGGGGTCCTGAACTCTGTGTTTGCACCAGCAGTAAGATTCTCGTTTCTGGAAGAAAAACCACATGCTTTTTTTGGAGACCTTAACATTTTCTCTGATCACATGTCACTGCTCTTGAATGTCAGAAGAGCCTTTGCAGTGAACACAGTCTCTCAGAAGTTAACAATACCTTTTTCTGCCCATAGTTTCCAGGTTGGTAGGAGGGTGAGTGGCTTTTTCTCAACATGTTAGATCATTTCCCACCTTTGGGTGGGACATGAAGGCGGATGTTAACAGTATGGTGTGTGTGCTAATGATGTTGCTATGGAAGGAAGCAGCTACCCTGGTGAAGTGAGACACTCAAAAAGAGTTTTTCTTTCCCAGGAGGGGAAGGAGACAGGCCTTCCCTGACCCTGTACAGCTGTGGAGGGGAAGGCATTGTGCTGCAGCATAACCCCTGGAAGCTCAGTGGAGAGGCCTTCGACATCAACAAGCTCGTGAGGGACACCAACTCTATCAGAGTAAGTTCCAGTTGGCTGGAGTCCTTTCCGCTTCCTTTGGTTTTTCTCCTTATTCAGGCCGTCTGTAAAGATGCCATCATGCTTAGCCAGACTTCTCAGATAGTTGATAAAGCTATTGGTGAATTTATGGCTTGCCTGTTATACCTTGGAGATACTTATCATTGAGTAAAGCAAAGAACTGTGTGGAGGATGTGGGGACTTAATTGCAGTGGTAATGATAAAAAAAACTAGAGGCAGGTGGATCTCTGTGAGTTCGAGGCCAGCCTGGTCTACAGAGCTAGTCCAGGACAGGCTCTAAAGCTACAGAGAAACCCTGTCTCAAAAACCAAAAAAAAAAAAAAAAAAAAAAAACCTTCCATATCTTCACTGTAAAGCATCCTTTTTTGTTTGGGGGTTTTTGTTTTGAGAAAGGGTGAACCATATGTAGTCCTGACTGGCCTGGAACTCCGTATGTAGACCAAGCTGTCCTCTGAGTCACAGAGAGCCACCTGCCTTTGCTTCCCAAGTGCTGGGAGTAAAGGTGTGCATCCTTTGGAAGCTAACCCTGTTGACAATGACTTCCTGTGGTTGTGCTCAGGCCTCATTTGGTCTTCTCTTTTGACAGGATGACTTCCTGTTAGTCCAGGCTAACTTCAAGTTCCTGACCTTCCCCCTCAGCCTCCCAAGTGCTGGATTACGCACGCAGAGTCACACATGCACAACAATACAAAAAGTCTCTCGGGTCCTTTGCCTGGATCTCACATTTAATCACATTTGCTTTAACTTTGTGTCACTTTATTTGTATGACTCAGCTATTTTTCTTTCTTTCTTTTTTGAGACAGGATCAAACATAACCCAGGCTGGCCTCAAGCTTGGTTCCTGCCTCCACCTCCCAGGTGCTAGGATTACAGGTGTGCACCACAATGCCTGGCTTCCACAATTGTCCTTAAGTCAAATCAGAAATGTTGAGGTTTCTTTACCCTTGCAAATAAGCAGTTTTAATTGTTGCTTCTCATTTTTGTATGCTTACCACAAGGTAACATAATCGTAAATCATATTTGATTGTATTCTTTCATTTTCTTCAATGTTGTTTGTATGTTAACATCCAGTAATGAACAAAATTCCTGTCCTGACAAGATTTTAGTTGAGTGACAACTGAGTTTCTGTATTAGAGTTCAGAGGATTCTGCACAGGAAATAGAAATTTGAAATCCCTTCACATAGATGACTTTGAAAAAGCTGTGGGCATATATGCAGTAGACATAAGAAACAAGTAAGAAAAATAGGGTCATGGGGCCAATGAAATGGCTCAACAGATAAAAGTGGTTGCCACCAAACCTGAGTTTTGTGCAGAAACCTACATAAAAGTGGAAGGAGAGACTCTAATCCTAAAGTTGTCTTTAGACTTCTACATACACACCCCTGTGCTCGTGAACGACACACACACACACACACACACACACACACACACACACACACACACACACATTTTTAAGAAAAAGAAGCATGCGCACAAGGTTCTGACAGGCCCCAGAGGAACAGCTGATCTGATTTTGAGCAGTAGACTTGTGGGGAAATGCTGGGGAGTCTGCCTTTTGCTAAGGGGACTGTCAGGGTAGAAGGAAGGAGAAGCTCTAGTCGGAGTACTTGTTCTCAGTAACTCTTTGGCTGAATGTGGTGTTAGTCTAGAAAACTGCCCTTCGGAATTAGAACATGTTTTAACCCCAGGGATTTTTTTCCCCTCATGATGTCATTGACTTATAAGATGAAGAGTGGAAAGAAAATGTTTATACCCGTGCCTGGCTTGTTTTGCTTTCTAGTACAAGCTGCCTGTGCACACAGAGATCAGCTGGAAAGGAGATGGCAAAGTCATGGCTCTTGGCAATGAAGATGGGTGAGTGTGTCCTTTACAAAAAGTTCTACTGCTGTAGCATTCCCTGGCTGGCCAAGGCTTTCTGCAGTGCCCAGTGGCAGTCCCATTGTGTTCTGTGTTAGGATTCACTGTGAATAGCTTCAGCTGATCTGGACTCTCCGTCTTTGTGAAGACAGAATTATTTGAATCTCTACAGCTCAATGACAGTGTCTGACTACTACACTGTGCTGGCTGCTGGAGTCTCGCTGGGGTTTGTCCATTGTTCACTACAGTCACAGCCCTTTTTCTTCAGACATTAGTTCATCATTCTCACCCCCACCTCCACCCTCAGCTAATTCCTGGTGCTGTGAGAGAAGGGCCTCTGCCAGGGGTAGAGTGCCATGCTTTCTGTCTCCTTCCCTGGACTGAGAAGGGGGGGGGGGGGGGCGCGGGGCTTGTGACTTGATTGGCCATCGTTCTCATCCTGCTGCATCTTGTTCCAGGTCCATAGAAATATTCCAGGTTCCCAACTTGAAGCTGCTCTGCACCATCCAGCAGCACCACAAGCTGGTGAACGCCATAGTCTGGCACCATGAGCACGGCAGCCGTCCAGAGCTGAGCTGCCTCCTAGCTTCGGGCTCCAACAACGCTGTCATCTACGTGCACAACCTGAGAACTGTCCTAGGTAACACTGACTTCTGGGCGGGGTGGTGCAGGCTTTGAGATGAGCCTGCCCTCCTGCCTGTGCCTGCTGAGCACAGGGTTGCAGCCTTGCGTTCCCTGTCCGACAGTAATCTGGATTCTGTGCCTAGGGGGAGATCCTTTAAAGTGAAGGTGAATTATAGACGTCACAAATAGATTTTTTTTTTAAAGAGGAGGGAATTTATGTTGGATTTCTTCAGGTAAAGAAATTGATAGAATGATGAACTAATGTCTGAAGAAAAAGGGCTGTGACTGTAGTGAACAATGGACAAACCCCAGCGAGACTCCAGCAGCCAGCACAGTGTAGTCAGACACTGTCATTGAGCTGTAGAGATTCAAACACAGAACAGTTGTTGGTCACTGTCCTGCAGTTTGGTTTTATCCGGTATTTTCTCATGAGTAGCTTCAGATCTGTTCCCTACCTACTGTTACTACTGTGTGAGTGCAGGCATGTCCAGAAAGAGGTGCTTTTGTGTTGGCCTTTAGCTCCACACCTCCTGTGGTAGCCTGTGTGTCAGGCCCTGTTAGTGAGCTACATTCTTGTTGTTGTTGTATCATTTTCTGAGCTTGTGTCATTTTCTCCTGTTTTCTCCCTCCAAACCCTTCCGTGTACCCCCTCACTCTTTCAGATTCATGGACTTGTCTTTCTTTATTGTTATATATACATTCCTAAATACATAATTGCACTCTTCCCAGTCCGTTTAATATTATTTATGTGCCTGTGTTTTTAGGGCTGACGATTTAGTGTTAGATAACCAATCGATGGATTCTTCCCTGGGGAAGACTGTCTCTCCCTTTCTCAGTAGTTCTTAGTTGCCTGTGGTTGTTTAGCGTTGAGGCCTCATAAGCTTTCTCCCTTCTCCATTAGTTATTGGTGTTGTATTTGTTCAGTCATGTTTAGGTAGCCATATTGATGAGACTTTATGGTCTTTTCAAGGAGACCCAACCTCACAGCAGATTCCCCAATCCTCTGGCTCTTATAATCTAGTAAGCTACATTCTTTTCTTTTCTTTACCCCCCCCCAAAGTATTTATTTATTTACTTATTTAGTCATTTATTTAACTTTATTTTATGTGCATGAAGGAATCAAATTCCCTGGAATTGGAGTTACAGACAGCTTGAGCTGCCATGTGGGTACTAGGAATTGAACCCAGGTCCTCTGGAAGACTCAGTCAATGCTCTTATCCACTAAGCCATCTCTCCACCCCACCCCACCCTTTTTTGTTTGTTTGTTTTGTTTTTCAAAACAGGGTTTCTTTGTTTTAACAGCTCTGGCATCCTGGAACTCGCTTTGTAGATCAAGCTGGCCTCGAACTCACAGAGATCTGCTTGCCTCTACCTGCAGAGTTCTAGGACTAAAGGCATGCGCCACCACTGCCCAGCTGTAAGCTACATTTCTTTGTTTGGTTTTTTGTTTGTTTTTGATTTTGTTTTGAGATAGGGTTTCTCTGTGTAGCCTTGGCTGTCCTGGAACTCACTCTGTAGACCAGGCTGGCCTTGAACTCAGAGATCTGCCTGCCTCTGCTGGGATTAAAGGCATGCACCACCACTGTCCGGCTAAACTACATTCTTTTTTTTTTTTTTTTTAAAGATTTGTTTATTATGTATACAGTGTTATGCCTGCATGTATGCCTGCAGGCCAGAAGAGGGCACTAGATCTCATTACAGATGGTTGTGAGCCACCATGTGGTTGCAGAGAACTGAACTCAGGACCTCTGGAAGAGCAGCCAGTGCTCTTAACCTCTGAACCCCGGCTAAACTACATTCTTAATCACTGAGATCTCACAGAGCCTTCCTTGCTTCTTGGGATGTCCTGTCATCTGTACATTCTTTCTGTGGCTATTTGTGACTTCTTCCCCTTGCCTTCTAGAGAGCAATCCTGAGTCCCCAGTGACCATCACAGAGCCCTTCCGGACCCTCTCGGGGCACACAGCCAAGGTCACCAGTCTGGCGTGGAGCCCTCATCATGATGGAAGGCTGGTATCTGCTTGCTATGATGGCACAGCTCAGGTACTGTATGTCCTTGAGCCTGAGGTCTTGACTTATTTTGTGGGGGAGGGCTTCTAGACAGGGTTTCTCTGGAACAGCGGTAGCTGTCCTGGAACAGCTTGCTGTAACCTACACTTTCTCCTCTTCCCTCTGTTTTGGGTTGTCTCATTCCTCTTCTGTCATCTACAGAAGGGCTGTCTGAGCTAGAAGACACTTAGCAGGTCACTTGTGACTTACTGTCAGTGTGGGGAATTCTGATTACTCTCAGTGTGGTGGACCCAAGTGGCCCCAAAAATATCTTTCTACCAAATGAACACAAAGATTTTAGCTAATTGTAGGCATTCTTTTTCTTGTTGTTTGGGCTTTTGCTGCAGGGTCTTGCTATGCAAGGCAGGCTGTCCTCAAACTCTTTGTAATTTGATTTGGTTTGTTTTTTTAAATTAACAGTGTGTGTGTGTGTGTGTGTGTGTGTGTGTGTGTGTGTGTGTGTGTGTGTGTGTGTCCAGGAAAACTTACAGGAGTTGGTGCTCTCCTCCCGTCATGTAGGTCCTAGGGATTGAACTCAGGTCATCAGCCTTGACAGCAAGTGCCTTTTCTGCTGAGCCATCTCACCGTCCTGTCCTCAAAGCTTTAATCCTCTTGCTTCATTCACCCTTCCATGCTGGAACTGTAGGTGTGGGCCACATGAGATAGTATTGTCACATGACTGCTTTAGATAAATGCAAATCATGTGAAAATTAAAAGCCTGTCATGAGTTTATTTTTAATTGAGCAACTTATGCTCCAGAACAGTATATCAGTTGTTCTGTCATACTACTATTGGTTCTAGGTGTGGGACGCCCTCCGGGAAGAGCCTTTGTTCAATTTCCGAGGACATCGAGGCCGGCTGTTATGTGTGGCGTGGTCCCCAGTGGACCCAGAATGCATCTACTCAGGTGCAGATGACTTCTGTGTATACAGATGGCTGACCTCCATGCAGGACCATTCCCGGCCTCCTCAAGGTTGGTCAGGTTGAGGTTATGGAACCCACACTGTTTTTTCTGAATCCCTTTCAACTCTGCCTTAGTAATTGTGGCTCTGACTCCACCCAGCATCGCCCATCACTTCCAAATTGTAGCAAGCGTGGCTGAGCTCTTATCAGGGCTGTTAGACCTCATGACTCACTAGGAGGACATTGGGAATGAAGGCACCTGCAACATCTCAGGCCAGAAAGAAAGGTGTGCTCAAATCCAAGTACAAAGAGCAGCTTGAAGGGCCCCTGCCAAACAAAAGGGGGGCTGTTGACAGGAGGGGTCAGCAAGATGTCTAAGATGGGGGGATTAGTCAGGATTCTCTAAAGGAACAGAACTGACAGAATGGAACACACACACACACACAGGACTTACTAGAGTGGCTTACAAGCTGTGATCTGAGTAGTCCAGCAATGATTGTCTCCAGATGGAAAGGACAAAAATCCAGTAGTTATTCAGTCCACAAGACTGGATGTCTCAGAAGTTTCAAATCTGGTGCTGGAGTCTGGAAAGATTCCTAGAGAATTGCTGGTCTTCGGTCTGTGTTGGAATCCTGAAGAAGTAGGTTCTAATACTGACAAGAGTGAGGGCAGGCAGGCAAAAGGCAAAGGCCTCCTTTTTCCATGTCCTTTTATATAGGGTGCCACTAGAAAGTGTGGCCTGGATTTTAATGGATCTTCTGACCTCAGATCCAGTCAAGAAAATCCCTTTAAAAAGCCTAGAGGAGGTGCAAGCCTTTAATCTCAGCACTTGGGAAGCAGAGGCATGAGGATCTTTGTGACTTCAGAGGCAGCCTGATCTACATAGCAAGCTCCAGGACAGTCAGGACTACATACTCAGACAAATTAAAAGAAAATAGAAAGAGAACATTGCTCACAGGTGTGTCTCCACTTCATGGACTGGTCAAATTAGCAATCAAGATTGGTTGTCACAGCCAAGCTGTGGTGGCGCATGCCTTTTATCCCAGCACTCGGGAGGCAGAGCCTGTGGATCCCTGAGTTCGAGGCCAGCCTGGTCTACAGAGCGAGATCCAGGGCAGGTACCAAAACTACCCAGAGAAACCCTGTTTAAAAAAAAAAAAAAAAAAAAAACACAAAGGGAAAAAAAATTAGATTGGTTGTCACAGGGGTAAAGGGACTTGCCAACAAGTGTGGTCTGGGTAGTACTGGGTCAACCTGAGGTCAGTTTCTGGAACCCACATATAAGTGGGAAGTGGGGACTGACTCCAGAGCTGTCCTTTGACAGCATGTGTGGTAGTCATGAGTTCTCAAACTCACAGTAATTAATAATATATATGTGCACCAGGCGGTGGTGGCTTATGCCTTTACGCTCTACAGAGCGAGATCCAGGACAGGTACCAAAACTAGACAGAAACCTTGTCTTGAAAAAAACAAACAAATAATAATAACAACAACAATAATAATAGTAATATATGTGCGTACACACTAATTAGTAATATGTATATAGAGCCCACAACAGACTAATGTATGGATACCACCAAAATCCAACTTGGTGAACCATGAGTTTTACTGGGGTTACTAACAAGAATGTGGGTGAGGGGTTACTAACAGGAGCAGAAATAACTCAAAGACAGCTGCATCACCAAAGCCCACCCCAGCATGGGTGACAGCTCACAGAAGCTGGAACCTGCAGCACACTGCATGGCCTGCAGGCAGCTCAACAGGTTGAAGGGTGTCTTTCCCAGGTGACTCTTCTGAACCTCTTTCAGGCAGCTTGGCTAGTTTCTGCTTGTTCCAGGCAGCTGGGCTAATCCCAGAGTCTTGGCAGTACAGCTTCTCCTGCTCTGAGGGGGACTCTCAGCTTTATTGTTTACTCTGGCAGGGAGGAACCTAGTGAATCCTGCAGGTTTCAGGGACTTCTGAAGCTTTTTTGAGTTCTTTACCTTCCTGTTTAAAGGGCTTCCCTGTGGAATGGAGTGTATCAATCTTAGAGGAAGCTGCTACACAACATTAGGTATAGAGTGCTTGCTGGTAAGCCTGGCAACCTGAGTTGGATCGCCAAGATTCACGTAATGGAAGGAGAAAACCAACTCTTAACAAGCTATCCTCTAACCTCTCTCCTCCTTCCCCCATCTATCTGTTTATTTATCTATCTAGCTATCTCTCCCTCAGATACACATTCATAAAAATAATTTTTATCATTTACATGTGAATTTCATAAATTTATAAAAATAAATGTAAATTTTATAAATTTAATTTTTTTTTTTTAGGACAGGGTTTCTCTGTGTAGCTTTGTGCCTTTCCTGGATCTCGCTCTGTAGCCCAGGCTGGCCTTGAACTCACAGAGATCTGCCTGTCTCTGCCTCCCGAGTGCTGGGGTTAAAGGCGTGCGCCATCACCACCCATCTTAAATATTTTTTATTTAAAGAAAATCAAGGGAATTGTATTTGCAGCTACCAAAGATTAACTGATGCCTAGCATGATGTCTCCCTACCATAAACAACTAGAAACAGGAGATAAAGAAATATACCCCCACCTATGACATTCCCCATCCTCCTACCGTATTATAAAGGAATGCTCAAATTAGCTTTGTCTGTGGTCAGAAACTGCTCAAATGCTAGTGGACCTGAGTGTATCCTTACAGAGGAAATGGTCATAGGCGTCAGAAGGAAGGTGTAGACTGCCCATGTATACAGAACTGCTTCAGCCCCCAGAACAGAAACAAAGAGCAACTACTATGAATGCAGCAAAATGGGTGCGTTTCTGACAGGTCACACTGAGCAGATGCAGCCAGGCCCAGGGGACTGCACAGGGTATGTACTGTTTCTGTGAAACCCTAGAGCAGCTAAAACTCAAACTTGGAGCCACAGATCCAGGGCATCTACAAGGTGGGGGTCTCAGGTCAAGAAGACGCTTCATATCCGGTCTGTGCTGCGAGTGCTGGGTTCCGGTACTGTGACTCTGTCAAAAGCAGTTGAAATGTGAAGAAGATAAAAATGACTGTAAGCAAACGATAAACGCTTTAAGGAAGGAAGAGGGTAGTGCTAGATGCTGCAAACTAGTAAGTGCCAGGTGCATGGGAAGTGTACTCTTGAGGTGCCAGAATCACATGGGCCTCTCTTGAGAACTGGTTCTGCCCAGCAGTGCATTCCAGCCAGGGAAGTCACAAGTGCCCACTTGGTGGCATAGTGACAGTTCCGGTCAGGAGTCTGGTGCTGGAACTAGGGAGTCCAAAAGTGTGGTAATGGACAGCAGCAGACACTGTCAGGACACCCTCTGATCACATCTCCCAGGTACCCCAGAGGAGCAGTGTCTCACCAGTTGCATCCCTTGAAAAGTGTGGGCAGACGTGAGTGGGGTTAGTGAAATTCCAGGGGGTTGACTGCTGATGGAGGTGCAGCTGTGGAGTCGTGGAGAAGGCAGGAGGGAGTGTGAAGACTGTCAGAAGGTGGTGTGTGGTTTGGGAGGATTCCACCAGGATGCTTCTGACCCACAGTGTGTACTTTAGTCTATTCTTGTTTTTCTTGTGGTCTTTGTAGGGAAAAAGTGTATTGAACTAGAGAAAAAACGGCTCTCTCAACCGAAGCCAAAGCTTAAAAAGAAGAAAAAGCCCACCTTGCGACTGCCTGCAAAGCAAGATTCCGCCATTGGCAATGAAGAGGAGAGTGCGAGGGAGAACTCGGGACCTGTTGAGAACGGTGTGTCGGACCAGGATGCTGAGGAGGAAGCCCAGGAGCCGGAGCTGCCGCCGTCCCCAGTGGGTAGGTGCTTCGAAAACCCCGTCTCTCTGGTGTCTTGATGTAGCAGGTCCTTCCTCCGTGTGGAGCTTCTGTGTCAATCGAGACTTTGCAGACCGTGTTACCATCGTTGAAAGGGGTTTGTTTGGTGCCATTTTTAATATTTATTTTTGTTTCATGTGTATGAGTGTTTTGCCTGCAACTATGTACCACAAAGAGTACAGTGCCCATGGAGGCCAGAAGAGAGCACTGGGTCCCCTAAAACTGGCATTAGACACAGTTGTGAGCTGCCATATGGGTGTTGGGAACTGAACCGAGGTCCTTTACAAAAAGAGCCAGTGCTCTCAACCTTTGGGCCATCTCTCTCTCCATCTTTAGAAGGTCTAAATGCCACTTTGAAGTGTTAGAAGAGATGTAGTGCATGATTGGGGTGGAGTCAGTAATACACAGGAAAGATTCAGCTGTTCAGGGTAGGCCCATGGGGCACAGTGAGACAGCAGGGCAGTGTGTGAGCGGAGGCAGGGGTGGAGATGAGGACACATCTGGGAAGGAAAGCACGTCCCTTGAACAGCTGGCCTTAACTGCCCCGACTTATATGGGGACAAGCAAGTCTCCCCTGCCCAGCCTGGTGTCTTCATCACTGTTGTGTTGCTATGAAGGGACACCATGACCAAAGCAAGTCTTATTAAAAACAAAACAAAACATGTAATTGGGAGCTTGCTTACAGGTTCAGAGGCTTAGTCCATTGTCATCATGGCAGCACTCATGGCTCTGGAGCAATGGCTGAGAGCTACACCCTGATCCAAAGGCTGAGAGAGAGGGAGACTGGGCCTGGCATGGGCTTTTGAAACCTCAAAGCCCCCCCAGCAACACACTTCCTCCAACAAGGCCACACTTCTATGAGCCGATGGGGGCCATTCTTATTCAAACCACCACAGAGGGTCAGTCCTTTCTCTCAGTTCTGCTATATCCTATCTCAGATTCTCATGGACCGCATGTGTCATTAGCTCTCATGTTATAATCTTGTGCATGTTTGAAGAGAATTGGTTGTTTATAGATCAGAATAGCACTTTTATTCTCTTATACCTTAAGTATCTTGTATTTATACCTGTTAAAATGAATGAGTAAATACCAAAGGGGAGAAACTGGTTTATGCTGAACTCCGGGATTTCGATGTGGCGTGACTGAAATAGCCAAAGCAGAGGTACCCTTGACCCTCCATCCTAGACTGTCTGGTGGACCCATGATTGGATAGATAAATTAGTAAAAGCTTACCATGTTTATTCTTTTATTCTTTTTTTGGTTTTTCGAGACAGGGTTTCTCTGTGTAGCTTTGCGCCTTTCCTGGAACTGGTAGCCCAGGCTGGCCTTGAACTCACAGAGATCCACCTGGCTCTGCCTCCCAGTGCTGGGATTAAAGGTGTGCTCCACCACTACCCCCCGACTTATTCTTTAGGTTTATCAAAATGCTCTTATCTTGGGGGATGATGAGATGGCTGAGTGGGTCAAGCGCTTGCCACAGAGTCCTGGGTGTAGCTGAAGTTGTCCTGTGTCCTTGGCTCTGTGGTTCTTATTTAGTTAGACTGTTTAGAAATTCGTCTACACCTGGGTTCGATTCTGGAACCCATGGAAAGGTGGAAGAAGAGCCTGACTCTAGAGAATTGTCCTGACCTCCACAGAACACAACAGAACACATGCAGTAATGATAGTAATTGTAAATGCCTTTGTATCAATAAGGGCTACACAAAATATCCTTTGCCATTGTAGGTCAGAAAACAGTTTGTGCGCCTAGCATTGTGACTGTCCTGTGTACCTGTTGTTTTTTGTTAGTGAAGCCCTTTCTTCTTTGTACAGTGAAGTGTAAGTTATCTGACAAGTGACTTGCCATGTGAGCAGAGTTTCCAAATCAAATGTCTTGGAGTTCTGGATGATAAGCTTAGAGACTCCGGAAGCCCAGTCTGTGAAGTGGGGTGGGGTCAGAGCACCTGTTCGGCTCATCCAGGGCACGGTTGCTAGACCTGCATTGCTGAGCCTGTTGCTGCTCTGAAAACAGCAGCTAGACTACAGTGGTTTTGAAACAGGGTCTCACTCTGTAGCCACAGTTGGTTGTCCTGGGACTCACAGTGTAGCTCAGGCTGGCCTCAACCTGTAGTGACCCTGCCTCAGCATCCAGAATGCTGAGGTTACAGGCCTGAGCTCCCTTGCCTACTTACTGCCTTTCTATATAGTTCTTGTCTCAAACCTTGTCTCTTTTTTTTCCTTGATGTAGTTTCTGGTGAAGCTGTTTCCTGCACTGCCGTTTCCTTAGGTTTTGAAAAGTCAAAAGTTACAGTTAGTAGCAAAGCCACCTCACTGAAAAAGGAGCCACCCAAAGAGAAGCCAGGTCAGTATCTTTCATGAGCACATTTTACCAAGTATTCCTGAGACCCTCTGTGCCCACGAGAGAGCGTTTGCCCGGGTGTGGGATGGTCTGATTAGGCTGTTTGAGTTTTGTTTGGGTTTTTGTTTTGTTCTCATGTATTGCTCAGCACATGCAATGTCTTGTAGTTGTTGATACCACTTGTGAGTGTCAGCAGGAGCATGGACCACCGTGGTGTGAGAGCTGCCCTCTGAGAGTCCCTTGCTCAGTGCCGCCCTCCTGTGGACCACATCCACACTGCCCACGTTGGCATTCCTTCGGCTCCCTCTCTGATCTCTTTTTCTGAAACCATGTGCCGCTGTTGTTGCATTTCAGAAGCCTTGCTCAAGAAGAGGAAGGCTCGTTCCATGCTTCCCCTGAGCACAAGCTTGGACCACAGGTCCAAAGAGGAGCTCCATCGAGACTGTTTGGTACTGGCAACTGCAACTCACGCCAAAGGTACTGAGCACTGCGCCTTGCACCATGCGTTTGCAGTTGATAATGGTGCTGTGTGTTAAGTGAATGAGCAAATGTTCAGATTACCACTGCCTGTGCTTTTCTCCCAGCTTCCCTTATCCTTGGCCCCCTGCCCCACTGCCGTGCCCCTGTCCTGCAGTCCCTGCTCCCAGGATCCCATCTGTCACTCTGCTACCCAGCCAGCCATCTTTGTGCCACATCAGGCAGGGCTTCTACACATCTCCGTGTAAATCTGCTTTCCACTCTTCCCTACCAGTGTCTTTAGGTTAAAACAAAAAATCCTCACTAGAGATGCCCTATAACGTGTGGCAGTTACTTTGATGTATTTGATGGAGGTTTTGTTTTTTAAATGATTTTGGTTTTGTTCGTCACAGCCCAGTATTTTGGTATTTGAGCAACTTGTTGTTTTTATTATGAATTTGATGTGTTAAAAAGAATAGCACAGTAAAGCACAATTCAAAGAATCTAAGAGAGTGAATCCCTCTACTGCCCACTCTACTGGCTACCACTGTTTTCTCCTGTTCTTTTTATAGGTATGGCTTGTTTTTGGAATTTTGAGATGGCCTAGAGCCTCCTTGGTTAACAACAGTTAAACTTACTGGAAATCAGGATTTTTTACATTCTCAGGTGGGGTGTGTACTCTGGATGGAACCCAGGGCCTTGCACGTGCTAGGCAAGTCCTCTACCATTGAGCCGTACACAAACACCATTGACTGTTTCAGTTTTGTTTGTTTTTGTTTTGATTTGGTTTGGTTGGTTGATTGGTTTTTCGAGATAGGGTTTCTCTGTAACAGTCCTGGCTGTCCTGGAACCCTTTGTGTAGACCAGGCTGGCCTCGAACTCACAGAGATCCTCCTGCCTCTGCCTCCTGAGTGCTGGGATTAAAGGTGTTCAGCTCCATGCCTGCTCCTATGGAATTCTTAGGCCATTCTGGTTAATTTTGGTTAATTTTTTAGCAGTAAATTTAAAAGACATGTTGCATTTGGAATCCTCTTATCATATTTTTCCCTCAAGCCTTTGTCGGCACAAAGTACAAAACGGTATTGTCTCGTTGGATTTTGCCCAAGCTGAGTTTTAAAGATTCCAAACTGTGTCTGTAACTAACAGGAGGTAGAGTCAGTGAGGACCTGGAGTGTGTTTTTTGTCTCTGGAGTAGGTGTTGGGGCATGTATCCCGAAACGACTGGACAGAAAGCAATAGCTGTCAGTTCCCTGTTGACCTTTTCAATTCACAGAGCTAAATGAAGATGTGTCTGCCGACCTTGAGGAACGGTTCCACTTGGGCCTTTTCACAGACAGGGCTACTCTGTACAGGATGATGGAAACAGAAGGTGAGGCCTGCTCCGTCGTCACCGTCTACATAGCCCTGTCTCTCCTCACTCTGGGTGGCTGCCAGCCTATGCATTGCCATTCTATGCAGCTTTTCTGCTTACAGATGTGTTGCCATCTTGGCTACTGCCACATGTCCTTTATGTGGTTGTCAGACTCCAAACAGCAGCCACTAACTGGTGGAATGCTCTTGAAGGCCTCTGGTGGCAGTGATCAGCTGGGCTCCAGACCCATTCATCCATGTTGGGTTTGGTCTGTGGTTCACATCTACAATCGCAGCACTCTAGAGGCTAAAGCAGGAGTATCACAAGATTGAGGCCATCCTATATGTCCATCCAGTGAGTTCTAGGGCAGCCTGAGCTATGAGGAGACTTAGTCTTTAAAAAAAAAAGCCAGGGAGCAGAGTGCTGGCTCAGCAGGTCGAAGTGCAGTCCTGACCTGAGTTCAATCCTCAGAACACACAGCTCACACTGCAGTCCTAACCTAGCTACAAAATGGAAACAGACAAGAGGATGAGCTGGAGCAGGTGTCATAGTGCACAGACAGAAACCTTGTCTCTGAAGTAAAGTGAAAGGACATATTTCAAATTTTAAAATTGGGGCCAGGGAGATGGCTCAGCAATTAAGAGCACTGACTGCTCTTCCAGAGGACCCGGGTTCAATTCCCAGCACCCACATGGCAGCTCCCAACTGTCTGTAACTCCAGTTCCAGGGGTTATGACACAGACATACATGTAGGCAAAACACCAATGAACATAAAATAAAATTTTTTTTAATTAAAAAAAAAAAATCTTAGGGTTGGGGATTTAGCTGAGTGGTAGAGCGCTTGCTAGGCCCTGGGTTCGACCCTCAGCTCAAAAAAAAAATCTTAAAATCATTTTAGTAGGTGCCTATATATTCTCTTCTACTTTGACTCCTGTTTTATAAAGGTCAAAACAGCTTTCCTACACTGTCTCTTCTACACAGGAAAAGGTCACTTGGAAAGTGGCCACCCTGAGCTTTTTCACCAGCTCATGCTCTGGAAAGGAGATCTGAAAGGTGTTCTCCAGGCGGCAGCAGAGAGAGGAGAGCTTACAGACAGCCTCGTGGCTGTGGCACCAGTAGGTATGTGCTTCCTGAAAAAGTGTGTGGCCTTCCAGAATGTGCCATTAAAGATGCCCAGCACTGGTGTGGTGGTGGCTGGGGCACTGGTGTGGTGGTGCAGAGCCAGCAGCTGGGAGGCAGGGCAGAGGACTCACCAGTTCAGGGCACAAAGGAGAAAAGATGACGTGGCAGCACTTGCCTTGGGCTTAAAGTCACTTACAAGTAGACAGTTTTACAGAAGCTGGCGCTGCAGCAGTGGCAAAGGCTGGGGACACATCACCATTGTGGTTTTTTTTTTTTTTTTTTTTTGGTTTTCCAAGACAGGGTTTCTCTGTGTAGCTTTGCGCTTTTCCTGGATCTTGCGCTGTAGACCAGGCTGGCCTCGAACTCACAGAGATCCGCCTGCCTCTGCCTCCCGAGTGCTGGGATTAAAGGCGTGCACCACCACCGCCCGGCACCATTGTGTTTTGTCAGGACAGAGTAGCTGCAGCCCTGTGCTCTGTAAGGAGCAGGTTCATTCTGCTCACAGTTCTGGAGCTTGGGAGCCAGAGCCAACATTGCTCAGTGGTGGCATGGGCAGCACAGAGGTCAGAATGTAGGGAAGACAGGACAGGCTGGCTTCGTGGGTAAGGCAGACCAAGCAAAGCTTGCTCTTTTTCTAACAGCTCCTGGGAATTAGTCGACTCCATAGGTCAGCAGTAGTTAGTCTGTTCAGGACCGCTGCCCTGTGTTGTAATTACTGTCCCCAGGCCCAGCTCGGCCATGCCTCTAGCACGTAAGCCACTGATGGACAAAGCACATCTGGAAGGCCAGTTGGACTGTGTGATTTGAAATGCTTAAAGCCTTTGGCCCAGCAGTTCTAATGATAGAAATTAAACTACACTCATATTCGTGGACATAACAAAAGACTGTAAGGACCTACCTGCATGTCTATAAGTAAGAGACCTGTGAAGTCATGTACACAGAGTGGAAACCCTTACAAATACCCAGAGACTGAGGCAGCCTTGTACACTCTAACACGAGCGAGCCCCGGAATATAGGAGAGGAATCAAGGGGGTTCTCAGTGGAGGCAGCTGACAGAGGCCTGGGCACACTGGTCCGTGCTGTGCCTAACAATACAGTCCGGATGGCTAGGTGACCCTAAGAAACCAAATGGCAAGATGTCTGTCTACGCCTTCCTTATGCAGATGTGCAGAAAAGTACATAAGGAAAATCTAGACATCCTAGTCAGTTTGCAGAGTTTTCTAAGTGCTACGAGAGGTGAAAGACAAAGCTAGGCCAGGAGAAATTGAAGTTTGTTGAAATGGTAAAGGTAGATAAAGTACACCGTGATTAGGAAATGAAGAAGCAAGAAGAAAAAGTCCCCATAAATGTCCTTAAAAGACCACCATTCCTCCCCCACAAACATGGCCGACTCTATTGGAGATGTTGTAAAACAGATGGTGCCAGCTGGACATGGTGGTGCACACTAATCCCAGCTCTGGGGAGGCAGAGGCAGGTGGATCTCTGTGAGTTCCAGGCCAGCCAGGGCTGTGTAGTCAGACCCTGTCTCAGAAGAAATAGCTGCTGAGAAATGACAGCAAAAAAGCAACCATATATTAAAATCTTCTTATGAATGAATAGCTTAGAGTGGGGGCGCCATGATTGACACATCTCTTTGGCTACAAAGTGGAGCCATTGATGCTGTGGTGAACACGTAAGTGGGTCACATAGATCAGAATGCGTGGCGGGTCTCATCATGTGTGGGTATGTGCACATGACCACAGTTGTCCATGGGGGCCAGGAACAGTGGATCCCTCTAGAGCTGAAATTACAGGAGGTTTTGAGCTACCCAACATGCTGGCACCAAACTTGGGTCTTCTACAGGAGAGCAGTGAGTGCTCTTACAGAAGCTCTCTTTGGACCACACCCTCAGCGGAAGGCACGCATGGCCACACAGTCTCGCTGTCACTGTCCACTCCTACCCAGAAGTGTTCCCTGAACTTCGTCTTTTGTGTGATAGAGCAAGTCAAAGGAACAAATCCTGTTTCAGGGTATGGGTGTGGGGAGGGAAGTGGAGCAGAAGGGCTACGGTCGCATCTGAAGTAGTGCCTGATTGTTCTGCCTACTGGAGGGATAAAAACGGCATTTTAACTCAAATGTACCTCCATTTACACACCCTCCTCCTTCCTTTTTTTCTTTAAGCTGGCTATAATGTGTGGCTGTGGGCCGTGGAAGCCTTTGCCAAGCAGCTATGTTTCCAGGATCAGTATGTCAAGGCTGCCTCCTACCTGCTGTCCATCCACAAAGTGTATGAAGCTGTGGAACTCCTCAAGTCAAATCATTTCTACAGGTCTGTGCAGTTTGGGCCTTAACCAGCATCTGACGTACTGTGATCTAAACTTGTTGATGACGCAGTGGGAACAGAGAAAATAGTTGGGGGCCTGATGACTCCCCTAAAGATTATCTTTATGTGTGTGTTGTGGGTATGTGCACATGATCACAGTTGTCCATGGGGGCCAGGAACAGTGGATCCCCCTAGAGCTGAAATTACAGGAGGTTTTGAGCTACCCAGCATGCTGGCACCAAACTTAGGTCTTCTACAGGAGAGCAGTGAGTGCTCTTACCTGCTGAGCAGTTTCTCTGGGGCTCCCCCACCACCACCACTTTTTTTTTTTTTTTTTTAGGGAAAATCCAACATTCCTGTCTTGGGGTTTCTGTTGCTGTAGTGAACACCGTTGCCGAAAGCAACTTGGGGAAGAAAGGGCTGATTTCAGCTTCCAGCTGTAGTTGTAACTGCTGAGGGAAGTCGGGGCCAGAACTCAGGGCAGGAACTGGGAGGGAGGAACTGGAGCAGAAACCGTGTTGTTTTCTTACATAGCCCGGGACCAGCTGCCCAGGGTGACACCACACGAAATGGGCTGGGCTATCCTATGTCAGTCATTAATCAAGACAGTACCCCACAGACCTTCTTCAGGCCAGTCTTCTGGAGGCATTTTCTCAGTTAAGACCCCCTCTTCCCCGATTTGTCTAGGTTTGTGTCGAGTTGGTAAAAACCAGCCAACACAGTTCTCAGTGTAGATGAAGGGCCGTCCTCCGTTCTGTTTGGGGTGACTGGTGAGGTCTCTTTCCAGTGTAACCCTGTATGTCAGCCACAGTGGAGGAAGACCATTCTAGGCGGCATGCGCTAGACCTTTGGTTCCCTGTCTCATCATGTCTGCCATTAGTGGGGTGTTTGAATCAGTGACATTTAATACTCGTTTGTTGTCCTTGGCTTGTATCTGCACACCTTGGTGTTTCTCTCTTATTTGTCAAGTATATCTTTTTTGTTTTATTTTGGATTGACTATTTTTGTCAGGTTCCATTACTGACTTTCTAGCTATGTCCTCTTAAATTTATTTATTTGTTTATTTATTCATTGTAATGTGTACGGATGTTTTGTCCACATATTTGTCTGTGCACAGTGTGTGTGCCTTGTGCTTAAAGAGGCCAGAAGAGGGCATTGTGTCCCCTGGAGCTGGAGTTACAGATGGTTTGTGAGCCACTGTGTGGATGCTGGGAATTGAACCCAGATCCTCTGGGGAAAAAACAGCCAGTGCTCTTAACCACTGAGCCATCTCTCCAGCCGCTGACAGTTTTTGATTTGTTTGTTTAATAGTATATTCTACTGGTGATAATTCCCAAAACTTGTTTTGAGTGTGAAAGCCTATAATTTCACACTCATCTGAAAAGATCTTTTCTTTCTATCTTTGTTGATGTCGATACTTTTTGGTTATGTAACCCAGGCTGGCCTTGAAACTCCTGCCTTAGTTTCCCGGGACTTCAGTTACAGGCGTGCTCTCCACACTTAGTTTCCCGGGTACTTCAGTTACAGGCGTGCTCTCCACACTCAGTTTTCCGGGACTTCAGTTACAGGCGTGCTCTCCACACTTAGTCTTCCAGGACTTCAGTTACAGGCGTGCTCTCCACACTTAGTCTTCCAGGACTTCAGTTACAGGCGTGCTCTCCACACTTAGTTTCCTGGGTACTTCAGTTACAGGCGTGCTCTCCACACTTAGTTTCCCGGGTACTTCAGTTACAGGCGTGCTCTCCACACTTAGTTTCCCGGACTTCAGTTACAGGCGTGCTCTCCACACTTAGTTTCCCGGACTTCAGTTACAGGCGTGCTCTCCACACTTAGTTTCCCGGACTTCAGTTACAGGCGTGCTCTCCACACTTAGTTTCCCGGGACTTCAGTTACAGGCGTGCTCTCCACACTTAGTTTCCCGGGACTTCAGTTACAGGTGTGCTCTCCACACTCAGTTTTCTGGGACTTCAGTTACAGGCGTGCTCTCCACACTGGTTGTATTTTCATCTGCGCTGCGTGAAAACAGTGGAGTTCTCTCTGTCCAGGCCGCCTTCCATTATCACTGATTTTCAGTGATGTGATGATATACTGTGGTGAGGTTGGCCTTTTGTTTACCTTGTCTGGGTTTTGTTGTCCTCCTTCAAGGGTGCTAAGCTTCGTTGTGGCTCACCTTGATCTTTGTGGAAATGGAACAAAGTCTAATGGTGCTAGCCTCACATCTGTGGCCGTGTTGTCAGCCTCTGGAATGCTGGGATTGTAAGCCTTCCCCTTACTTCAGGAGGGCAGATTCAGAGAAGTCCACACTGTGGACTGGTGAGGGCCTCCTACCTTCTGATATCCCTGCTGCAGGCTTTGCTTAGTGAGCAAGTCACAACAAGCTCTGGGCATCATTCAGCTCCAAGCTCCCTGATTGTTCTTTGTTCAGCCTCTCAGAGTTTCCAGCATGGCCAGAGACCCAGCAGGATTCACCCTGGCCACCTCTCTGTGTGTGAACTGCTTTCTCCTCTTTTGCTTTAAAGGACTATGCCTAGAAGTAAAAGCCCCAAGTATTTCTTTTTTCTTTGATTTATTTATTTTCTTTCGAGATAGGGTTTCCTATGCATTCCTGGCTATCCTGGAACTCACTCTGTAGACCAGGCTGTACAGTGGCTGCAGCTCATGCTGAGCTGCACTTGGAAGATATTTGCCAAGTGACACATACTGAGTTGCTTTGTTAGAAGTCCCAAAGAGTCATACTCTTTAGTCTCGGGTCACCTTCACTGGAACGGTTTTCAACTTTGGGTTTTCAAGCTCTGAGTCCCCAGTGGCAGGTACACTTTTCTGAAAATCCCAATTTTCAGGAATGTGTAAACTTTATCATTGGAAACATAAAGTGAAGTGCTTTACTTTGTCCATTTTTGAGAAAATATCTGTAAAATACTCAAAGCAAAATAGCTTATCTGTTAGTTTTATTTGTGTCTTGAGACAGGGTCTCACTTTAGCTGGAGCTTTTCTGGAACTCACTGTGTAGACCAGGCTAACCCCAAATTCACAGAGATCTGGCCGCTACTGCTTCTGTGTGCTGGGACTAATGGTGAGCACCACTGAGACTGCCGGTGCTTTGTAAGAAATAAGTGAGTTTTCTTGAAGAGAGCAGCTAGCTGGGGCTGGAGAAATGATTGTGTGGGCATGGTGAGTAAGAGTGTTTGCCCTGCAAGCAGGAGATGCAGTGAAAAGCTGGGCATGGCTGCCTATGCCAGGGACCCCAGTGTCAGCAGGTGGGAATAGAAGGATCCCAGGAGCTCATTGACCAACCAGCCTAACCTATCTTGAAAGAAATGGGGTAGCTCAGCAGGTAAGGCCTCTTACTGCCCAGCCCATGGACCCAGGTTTGATACCCAGAACCCATGCAGTGGAAAGCCTTACAGAACCAACTCCTCCTGTAGGTTACCTGGCCTAAACACACGCACACGCACATGCGCGCACAGCCACACGGAGTCTAAAAGGGAAAGTGAAGAGTGATTAAAAAAAAGTGTCTGGGGCTGAAGAGATGGCTCAGAGGTTAAGAGCACTGGCTGCTCTTCCAGAAGACCTAGGTTCAACTCCCAGCACCCACATGGTGGGTCACAACTGTCTATAATCAGATCTGGTGCCCTCTTCTGGCATGCAGGCATACATGCAGGCAGAACAATGTATGCATACATAATAAATAAATATTTTTTTAAAGAAGTGTGTGTACAATGTACACAGGCACAGACACTCACGTGCAACACACACACATACACAAATATTGAAAGTAAAGGCAGCTAGTCAGCCTGTAGTGTACTCATACATATTTCCCCAGAGATGACTGACATGGTTTGGAATAATGTCAGAAACAAAGCATTCTTGCCATTTTGTGATGGTGAAGGTCGAAAATGCTGATGGAGGGAATTAGGGAAATTAATCATTTGGCTGCCTCCCCAGGGCACTCACTGTTTTCATTTGTAGCCTCCCATGGAGGAACCTTTGCAGATTGACTGAAGTACCTGCTTTTGCCTTTAGAGAAGCTATTGCAGTTGCCAAGGCTCGGCTACGCCCTGAAGACCCTGTCCTGAAGGACCTGTACCTCAGCTGGGGGTCCATCCTGGAGAGAGATGGCCACTATGCGATCGCAGCCAAGTGGTAAGCAGAGAGGCTAATTTAGTGTGTGCTTGGAGCACAACAGAATGGAAGAGCTCAGTGTCGAAATGGGTACAGCGACCGGAAATGTAAAAAGAAGGAGAGATTCAGCCCAGCCGCATGCTCCAGTTACCTGAATTGGCACAGGCAGGCAGGCAGTCGATCTCAGGGGCAGACTTGAAGGTTACACCTGTCTCCATTGATGAGATAAGCAGAATGTGGGAGGGGGTCCTCTGTGTGGGTCAGTCAGCACCTGTGGAGGTTCAGCACGGTGTACAACTCAACAGCATGTAGCCATCCCGACCTCAGCCTCCACAGAGACAGCCAGAGCAGGGCCACCAGGACGCACATGCAGTCACAGAGACAGGAGAGGTGTGTGAGGGCGGCACGGCTGGTGACTGGGTTTCATTCTTGCCACAGCTACTTAGGAGCCACTTCCGCCTATGATGCAGCCAAAGTTCTGGCCAGAAAAGGAGATGCAGCCTCGCTCAGGACCGCTGCAGAGCTGGCTTCCATAGCAGGAGAAAGTGAGCTGGCTGCTTCTCTGGCTCTCAGATGTGCCCAAGAGCTGCTTCTGGTGAAGAACTGGGTGGGCGCACAGGAAGCCTTGGGGCTGCATGAAAGCTTGCAGGTCAGTCTCTGGAGCCTGAGGATGGGGGGCAGGGGGTGGGTTAGGTCCCTCTCTGGTCAAACTAACCCCCAGTAGACAAATCTCCAGTTCAGTAAGTTCTTTGGAAGTATCCAAAAGCCGTGGTGGCTACCCTATCTCACTGAAATACTACAACCTGCTCCTTACTGTGTTTGGGGTAAGAGATAGACCACTGTTCTTCGGTGATTTCTGCTGCTTACAAGTTTGTGCCAACCATCTGAACAGCCGCCGGTATGGCAGCGCCTGGGCAGTGCCCAGGGTTCCTACATTAGCACTGTCTCCCTCCGGGGAGATGGTTAGCCTCTGACAGAAAGATCGTGTAAGTAGCAGGCATGTCTGGTTTCTGGAAAGCTTTGCTCAGTGGTCGCTCACTTCCCCGACGAGTCCCAGGTTCCATTCCCAGCACTTCAGGAGATAACGGCAGTTAAAGAACCCTACCAGTTGTGCCAACAGCAGATTTCACTGACATGTTCGTGTTTGCGTGTCAAGTGCCGTGGCCATACTCAGACTCCCACTGCCGTCACTGTGTTTTTCTGACACATGAGAACTGAGGTGCACTCTGTAGTCCATGCTTAATAAATGTACTCTGCAGCCCAGGCTGGCCTCAAACTCAAAATCCTACTGTCTCAGTCTCCCTGGAGCTGGCATTCCGGGTGTGAGTCACCTTGCCAGTTCTGACATTTCTGGACTGTTTAAGCTCCTCTTTCCCTAGCACAGGAATAAGGCCGAAAAACAGTGCCCAGCTGAGTGTTCAGAGCCCAAGGAAGATACATAGGTGGTTAGCTTCCTGAGAACTGGAAGATTGAGCCACAGAGTGTGTTAGTTATAAAATGACCAAGTCTGGGCAGAGTCATTATCTACAGCTAAGAAAAGTAGTTCTTGAGCACTTCATTTTCTCCCTGGCGCAACATCCTCAACAAAGCAAAAAATAAAATAGCGCTGTAGCCTTTTGGTCTGTCCACACTCTGGTGAGGGTCATTTTGACTGGGTGTGCAGATGCCCTCTAGGCTTAACTGAGGACTTCCCAGGGTGTGCTAGGTATCTTGTAGCAATGAGAAATCCAACAAATAAAGATTTTTCTAGAGCTTTTTTGATACTTTTGTTGTTGGTGGATTCCCTGTCAGACCTGCTTAGACATGGCCTCTGCCTGCCCAGCTCCTGAGTGCCAAGCTTGTCTGTTCCAACACCACTGCGCTGTCGGCAGGAGAGGGCCTGATGCTATAGGGCTGAAGGGTGGACCTCGGTGTGGCTCCCGGATAGAGATTGTGGATGTCAGTCAGGATCCTTGTTACAACCGTTCCCTGGACTACAGAGGCCCCTCGTGGCTGCTGCACATTCCCCTTCACGTGACTCCAGTGGAGCAGCAGGCTCAAATGGGTGTGCATGTCATCTTCGTTTCCCTGTGTCATACCTCTGTGTTGTTGGAACCCAGGGCCAGAGACTGGTCTTCTCCCTCTTTGAGCTTCTGTGCCGGCACTTGGAGGAAAAGCAGCCCCCAGAGGTCAGAAGCCCCTCTTCTGTTTACCACCCGTGGGCCACGGGCTCTGAAGGAACCTTGGTGCAGAGAGTGACCAGTGTGTGGCGCAGTGCCTTCAGTGTGGACACCCCGGAGCAGTGTCGGGCCGCCTTGCAGAAGCTGCAGGATGTCAAGTACCCGTCTGCAACAAGTAACACCCCCTTCAGACAGGTGCGCCATGACCCAGCCCTAACAGTGTTCTTCATCGCTCGGAAAATAAGTAAAACAGTTTGTGTCTGAAAAAGACAAGGCAGTCCAGGCCTTGGGAAGGCCCCTCAGATGAAAGCCTTGAGCTGTGTATTCATTCAAGACTCTCATTTGTTTAATTTTAAAATACAAGGAAGTTTGAGGCTGGAGTGATGGCTCATGGCTAAGAGTACTGGCTGCTCTTGGAGAAGGGTCAGTGTGGGTTATCAGCACCCATACACATCTGAATTCCAGTTCCAGGGGATCCAGCACCCTCTTCTGGCCTTCATGGGCACCAGGCATACACATCATGCACAGACATACATGTAGGCAAAATACTACATACAGCAAAGCTGAGGTCCTCCTGTCTTCCCTGCTGCTGTTTCCCCTACCTCACTCACCTGAGAGAGTCCCTGCCTCCAGGTTACCCATGCTGATGCCGAGGGGTCAAGCTGAAGTACGGTAACTACTGTGTTCATCTTGGGAACATGCCTCAGTTTGTCTGCTTTTAAATTTTTAAATGAAAAGATTTGACTTTTGAGTAAGGAGACCTCCTCAAATGGTATACAAAATGGAAAGCAGGTTTGCAGTTTCTTACAAAGATAGCATACTCCTGCCCAGCCAGCCAAGTGACTGGGTGGTTCACAACAAGAAATGAAATCAGGAGGCCACTCAAAGACCTGCATACAAATATTTGGAGACATTTAGCCCACAACAGCCCCAAACAAACAGCCACACAAGGGGAGAATAGACCTCTGCACAGATCAGTGAGCCCCAGCAACAGGCTGACAGTACCAAGACCCAGAACACTGAAACTGTGACTCCATTTACATGGATTCTAGAAAAAACCATGCAGCATAACAAGGAGCTCTGAGAGTGTGACGTGAGGGGGGTGGCTGGGAAGGTGCTGTCAGACGGCCTTGTGTGACAAAGGTGTTCTGTGCTTTCATGTTGGTGGTAGCCATAAACTGCTTGTCAGAATGCTTCAAGCTGCTTAGTAACCTCCGGGCTGGAGAGACGGTTCAGTCAAGTAGGTAAACTGCTTTGCGTGAGGCCCTGGGTTTAATCGCTAACATGGCAATTGACACCCATGTCCCAGGATTAGGGAGGCAGAAGCAGGTAGACCCCAAGGATTTGCTGTCAAGACAGTCTAGCCCGGCTGGTGAACTTCAGGTTCTGTGAGAAAAGAGACTGTCCTGTCTCAAAAGAGAAAATGGGGCCGAGTGGTGGTGGCGCACACCTTTAATCCCAGCGCTCGGGAGCCAGAGGCAGGCAGGTCTGGAGTTTGAGGCCAGCCTGGTCTACAGAGCGGGATCCAGGACAGTCGGGGCTACATAGTGAAACCTTGTCTCAAGAAGACAAAAAGATAAAATGGAGAGTGATTGAGAAAGACAACTGACATTGTACCTCAGACCTCCACACGCTAAAATGGATTGGTACCAACTATTCCCGTTATTTCTGTTGATTTCCTTCTTTTTGTTTTGTTTTGAGATTGGTCTCATATAGCCCAGGCTGGCCCCAAACTTCTTAGATAGCTGAGGATGACCCTGAAGTCCTGGTCTCCTGCCTCCACTTCTCCAGTGCTAAGATTACAGGTGTGTGTTACCACATCAAGTTTATGTGATGCTGAGGACTGAACCCAAGGCCTTGTGCGTCCTAAGCAGGCACTCAGCCAATTACGCATAACACCCACCCCCCATTTTGTTTTTCTAATTATGGCTTTTTAGATCCAGAAACTTCACTTACTTGTTTTTGTTTGCAGTCTAAAGACAGGATGTTGTATAACCCAGTCTGCCTTTGATCTCATGACCCTCCTTCCTTAGCTCCCTGGGCATGCCAGCTGCCTTCACTGTTAGCGCAGTGGTCAGTGCATCTCCTCAGAAAGCTCAGACTTTACCACCAGACAGAGGGTGATTGATGGGTGGGAGGTAAAGGCTTTCCAGAGTAGCTGTTCTATGTGACTGGTTTCCGGTACAGTTCCTAGCTATGGGACCAGGCTTGTCAAGTCTCTGCCACAGGAGGGTGTTAGCAGGTGAGTGAGACTCTGGCCTCTTTCTAGCTGCTGCTTCATGTCTGCCATGACCTGACCCTAGCAATGCTGAGCCAACAGGCTGCCTCCTGGGAGGAGGCCGTGCCAGCTCTGCTGCAGGCCGTGCTTCGGAGCTACACCTCAGGGAACTTCACCCTCATGCAGGAAATCTACTCAGCCTTTCTCCCAGGCGGTAAGTGACCCCACACACACATCGCTGCCTGGGTCCTCCCGTTACAGCTCAGTATAACCACCTCCGATGGTACTGTACTGGGAGTGGCAGCGTCATTAAAAGGGGATGGGCTGTGGCAGGAGGATCACCACAAACTCTGAGCTGCATAGGTTACAGAGAGAGCCAGACCAAACCAAAGCACCTGCACCGGTGTCTTTACCTGCCTGCTCTCTCCTTAAAGCCCAGTTGGAGAGGGAAAGAAAAAGAGCTGGTGTGGGGTGCATGCACCTGCCATCCCAACATGGGCGAGGGGTGGTCAGAGCAGCAGTTCAGGGTAATCTTGGCTATGTGGTGAGTTTATGGCCAGCCTGGGCTACGTAGACCCTGTTGAACCATCACCCAAAAAGGGGGGCGGGGGATGTGACTTTCCAGCAGAGTGGTGGTGCACGCCTTTCATCCCAGCACTCAGGAGGCAGAGGCAGGTGGATCTCTGTGAATTTAAGCCCAGCCTGGTCTACAGAGCAAGTTCCAGGACAGCTAAGACTACACAGAAACACTGCCTCAAAAAACTGAAAATAAATAAATAATGAGTGAATAAATAAATAAATGTGGTTTTCCAAGCTGGAAAGATGAGGAAAGCTAGGCATTTCTTTCATCTCTGTGAAACAGTCCTGGCTGTCCTGGATCTCTCTGCCTCCTGAATCCGCCTGCCTCTGTCTCCTGAGTGCTGGGATTAAAGGTGTGCACCACCATACCCGGCTAGGCATTGACTATGTGATTAGTCCCTACAATTCATCTCAGTTTTCAGAGCACAATGTGCTTCATACCCTACCCCCACCACATTAGTGTGTCCCTGGAGCTACTAATAATAGTCTTCTGTCATGCTGTGAGTGATGTCACCTGTGACAAGGATTGCATTGTCCCAAGGCGGGAAAGGAAATGATGGGTTCCGTTGGCTTTGGGCAGAGGATATAATCCCAAGAGTTACATTGCTGCCCCTTCTCCTGGGGTGACCACACATGGGTGAGAAGCCAGGTTTCTCACAGATAGAGAAATGTATAACATATCCCAGGATCCTTTTCTTCTAGGCTGTGACCACCTGCGAGACAAACTGGGAGACCTCTCTCTTGCCACTGCAGCTTTCAAAAGCTTAGAGGCCTTTTTTATTTATGGGCAACTATATGAAGTCTGGTGGTCACTCTGTGGGCCTGGCCCTGAGTCCAGCATCTGGGTGAAAAGCACAGTCTCTGCGGAGCAGAGGGAGCCAGATGACAGTGCCAGTGATAAAGACACAGAGCCTGGGGCTACTGCTCAGCCACAGTCAAGTCAGCCTCCAGGCCCAGGCCTCAGGCTCAGTGGAGAAAGTGAGCGTTTACTTAGTGCCTGCAGAGAGCTCTTCTCAGAAAGGCATGCCAGCCTCCAGACCTCCCAGAGGACTGTTGCTGAAGTCCAAGAGACACTGGCAGAAATGATCCGCCAGCACCAAAAGAGTCAGCTCTGCAAGGCCACGGCCAACGGCCCCACCAGAGATGACCCTGGCCAGGAAGCAGAGCAGGCCCCTTCGCAACCTCAGAGCCCAAGGTAAATTCAGGTCTGGAACCATGGATGGCCTTGTTGTCCTATAACTGTGTCCAGTATAAGTATGTGATACCATTGACTAGGCCGCTGGGAAGCAGCAGACCTAGGTCAGACAGCTAATTCCAGCCCTTCTGAAGCCACTCAGTGCTCCATGTACACCTACAATAGCGCTCAGACTGAGATTACAGGTGTGTGCTACTACGTATGCTTCTAGTACCTTTCACCTTGATTACATTCCCCAGGCTAGAATCTAAGAAATACCAGTTAGTTCAGAAATCTACAGAGGTTGTATTAACTTTAAAAAATTATGGGGCTCGAGAGACAGATTATAATTAAAGGCGCCTGCTTTTTTTGAAGATCTAAGTTCCTTTCCCAACACCTACCCAGGGCCTCACAACTACCTCTAACCTTAGATCTAGAAGATCCAACACCCTCTTTTGACTTTCATGGGTGCCTGCACTCAAGTGCATACCCACTCATAGAAACACATTCATACACATAAGTAATCTGAAAAAATTAAAAACTATATGCCTGTAATCCCAACACTCCAGAGCTGGAAGCAGGAGGCTCAGAAGTAGTTCAAGGTCGCATTGAATGTATGGCTACCTAGGAAATGTGGGACTGTCTCCAAAGGAATTAGAAGAAATCCCAGCCACTGCTGTAGGCAGTTCAGGTTTGTGTTTTATTTGTGTAAGACATGCTCTTTCCCTGTGGCAACCGTTCTACCTGAGCCTTCCAAATGCTGGGATTATAGATGTGCCCAGCCAGGTTTGCTTTTAGAAAAAAAATGCTGTAAAGCCCTCAGATCGGCTCCTACCTTTGGCTCACAAGATTCCTGTGAGGACCTTAAGACACCGATCCTGGCTGCCTCTCTACTCCTTGGAGACCCCAGGCTGTCACACTTGTCTGCAGTCTTTCCTCTAAAGCCCTATCTCCTGTCTCAGGTATTAGAAAAGTGACCACCACAGCTTCATAGGTGTGCGTCTCATCCCATTTTGTTGCCTTCTCAATCTCTGAGTTGGAGTTACTTAGGCATAACAAGCGCCTGGCTTCAAGAAAGTACGAAGGATGTGACAAATGACCAGTCACTCATCCCTGGAGACATGCAAACCATGACACAGTGAAGGGCTAGGTACAGAACTGAGTAAGGAGAGTCTGTCCCCAACAAGAGGAAACCCTGGATTCCATCACCATCATGGGCATGGTGGTGCATGCCTATAATCCCAGCACTGGTCGGGTAGATGCAGGAGGATCGAGAGTTCAAGGTCATCCTCAATTACATTGTCTAGTTCAAGGCCAGCCTATGTGAGACCCTGCCTTTAAAAATAAAATGAATCTACAGTGAAATACTATTTCATACCCAATGTGCTGTGGCTGCTGCCAAGATTGGTGCAGCACAGCTTGAGTGTTTGTCCTAGGTGGGAACACTATGGAGTTCCTCAGGAATTAGAAAATGAGCTTCACTCTCAGATCCAGCCGGTCTACTCCTCAGTCAAGAGGACTGAAAGCAGGGCAGCCTGGCATGGTTCTGCATGCCTCTAATCCCAGCACGTAGCACCCCAAGTTAGCCAGTCTGGGCTACACAGCAAAATCTGTCTAAATAAATTAATGCAGGGATGATTAAATAATTGAAATCCCGCTGTTTGTGTAAGCATCTGCAGCACTGTGCATGATAGCATTGAAAATGGGAAGCAGCCCAGTATCCAAGGACAGGTGGGTAGATTAGCAGAAATGGTATATTCATTCAGTGAAATACTACTCAGTGTTTCCATGTTGAAAACGAAGGAAACTAGCCTGTACTACATTTACTACAAGGTAGGTGGCATAATGGTGCCATGAGACAGGAAGTGTGGGCTGCCAACCAGCAGAGATAGGCAAGGCAAGTTCCCATTTCACAAGAGCTCTGGTCCTGAGCAGGTGTGGGAGTGAATGCCTTTAATTCCAGAACCAAGAGAGCAGCCTGGTTTACAAAGCAAGTTCCAGGCCAGCCAGGGTCACACAGTGAGACACTGTCTCAAAAAAAAAAAAAAAGAGCTGTGGTCCTGGATGGTAGTGATGATCGCACAGCATGATGAGTGGAAGTATGTTTGTAGGTGGTTGAAATGGTTTTAACAATTATTTTACCACAATAAAAACAGTGGGGGTTGGCAGGTTGCTTAGTGGGTAAAGGCATTTGCCATCAAGCCTGATGATATGGGTTTCATTCCTGAAACCTACATATGGAAGGAGGGAATCAACTCCCAAATGTCTTCTGACCTCCAAGTGTACACACTGTGGATGCAAGTGCAGCCATGATCGCACATATGTATGTACAATAGACAAAAGGTTTTCTTTAACTGAAACATTTGGGGTAGAAGTTAGGTGACCATATGTGACTTCAGTGTATTGTTACTCTCGCTAGCAGAGAAGAAGGGAATGCATCAGTCTCTCTCCCTGAATTAACCCGAAGACTCACGGAGGCCAATGAGAGAATAGCTGAGTTTCCGGAGAGTATAAAGGTAAGGGTGTTTGAAGATGCTTCACACCAACCCCTGAAGGTCATCTACATCCACTGTCATTGTGTGTGCTTAAAGTTTCAGGATACAAGAGTTAGGTGGTGGCGCACACCTTTAATCCCAGCACTTGGGAGGCAGAGGCGGGTGGATCTCTGAGTTTTAGGGCTGCCTGGTCCATAGAGCGAGTTCCAGGACAGCTAGTGGTATACAGAGACCAAAAAAAAAAAGGAAGAAGAAAGCACTTGGGATGCAGTTGTCTCTGCCTAGCTGTAGTAATTTGTGACAGTGGCAGGACTGACCACACCATAGGTTTCCCGCTCGGTCTTAGGGAAAACCAAACAAGAGTTAGGTATGGTTGAGAGGGAAACCATTCAAGTCAGATGGGAGATGGTAGCAGGTGCCAGTACTCTGGAGGAGCAGTGTGTTGGGCTGTGACTGGTACTAGGAGCAGCTGTGTGAGTTGATTTGGGGACACTAGGAGACTCACCCACGAGGACATGCCAGTAGACATACCAGTTTCATCCGTCTGTCCTTCTACACGCCCTTGCAGACACTGCCTTGTCTTGTCGTTGTTTTAGGCCTGGCCCTTTCCAGATGTGCTGGAGTGCTGCCTTGTCTTGCTTCACATCGGGTCCCAGTGTCCTGGCGCCGTGAACCCTGAGATGCAGCAACAGGCCCAGAAGCTCCTTCAGAAGTATGGCCACACTAGAACTTACAGAAGACACTGCCAGAGCCTGCGCACATAAACTTCCAGAGGCCATAAAGCTGTGTCACACGGCTGTGACAACGTTCTTCTCAGTCACAGCTCACCAGGCCTCCACCCCATCTCCACTGGAAAGATGCTGTGGTCCAGCTGACAGCTGAGGGTGAAGCTTGATCCACTCACAATGGAGCCTGCCTGGTGCCTCCCAAGTGGTTTCCTGTAATGGAGCCAAAAGCCAGCAGGGTCACTCAGAACTAGCCCTTACCAAGACTGCTGTCTCAAGCCTTACGTGGTTTCCCCAAAGAGAAGCCTTTTGTTCACCCCAAGTCTGTCTGTCCTAGGTGCAGCTGCCTTTATAAATCCCCACCATCGGAAGTGTCTCCTTCTGTGGGAGGGGCACTTGACACGCTTATTACTGTTGGGTCGGGGCTTCTTAATTGGTTTGTTAGCTGGGCTTTCCCACCTCTCAAAGAGTAAAGGAATTAGCCTCGTCCACCGTGTTGACTCGGAACATCAGGTCAACGGTGATTTTATTTGTATGGAGTTGCCTCCGTGGGCAGATGGCCCAGGCGATCTGAGAACAGAGCTGATGTTGTCCTCCAGGCTGTGTAACGTGACTGAGGGTGATTAGACAGCCCAGGAAAAAAATCACTCCTGGTGGGTCTTTAATCCTTTGGGGTCATAAAACCCTTTGGTTGAGGATCGACTAAAACCCAGCCTGGAGAACAATGCGTATTTCCTCATTTTACAGTGCCTCCCGGGTCATTAGGCTTCACTTGACACCCTGGAACCTACAGTACTATTTATTCCCCAGCTCTGGGCCTGCTGCTAGTTACCACATAGCCAGACAGCTCAGAGACTGATGATGCCTCCACTGTCACTGGTTTCTAGAACAGAAAAAGCAGACATGCTCAGGTTGGGTGGGCCAAGCAGACCTTCTTCTTGCCTCTCTTGAGGTCCAATGTGAAGGCTTCATCTGTGGGCAGCAAGAAATATTCCCCACTGGAACTCCATGGGACGTGCATCTTGAGGTATTTGTGTGTGCTTAACTTTGGAATCTAAATGCTAAACCCAAAAAAGGGAACTACTGTACCATTGTGTGAACTCTAGGAAGATACATTGGTCTTAAAGGCAAGAGTCTTGACAAATGTGAGTAGGCTTGACTACATAGAGGACTTCATCTACAGAATGGGAAAAGTTGGTTCCCTCCACTTGAATAAAGAGTAGCTGGTAAAGTACAGTCTCACCCTTGTGATTCACTGAAACCAGTGCTCGTTGGGAGCAACCCTGCACACTGTGCATGCCACTTACTACTGGGAAAGACCAGAGGCAGGAGGAATTTGAATTCAAGGCTAGCCTGGGCTATGAAGCAAGACCTTGTCTCAAAAATAGTAATGATAATCCAGTGGGCTAGAGCGATGGCTTAAGAGCACTGGCTGCTTTTCCACAGGACCTGGGTTCAATCTCAGCCCCACATGGTGGCTTACAAACATCTATTACTTTCATTCCAGGGGCTCCAACACTCTTTTCTGGCCTCCACAGTCATCAGGCATGCACATAGTACATAGATGTACACATTCAAAAAGAAACCTAAAATAGAACTACCCAATAGAAAATTAAAATGACAGCTGTTTTCCTCTTAAACTGCTCTTTTAAATAATGTATGATGTTATCAACTTGCTATCACTTGAATATTATTTCTGTATCCCTAGTTATGAGAACCACAGAGCCAGAGAAGCAAAGGTGTTCACTCAAGGTTCTAGCAGAAAGCATGTATTACTAAGCAACCTTTTTTTGGGGGGGAGGGGGCAGTGTTTATCTAAAGTAATTTGGTCTAGACTCATCCAGTTACCTTCTGTTGGTTTTTTGGTTTGTTTTTTTTTTTAACTCCTTTTCTCTTTTGGCTCTTTGCTCTTTGGGGGCCCGCCACCCAGCTCCCAAATAATCACACACAGATGCTTATTCTTTCTTATAAATGCCTGGCCTTAGCTTGGCTTGTTTCTTGCCAGCTTCTCAAATTATCCTGTATATCTTTTCCATTCTTTTTTTTTTTTTTTTTTTTTTTTTTTTTTTTTTTTTTTTGGTTTTTCGAGACAGGGTTTCTCTGTGTAGCTTTGCGCCTTTCCTGGATCTCGCGCTGTAGACCAGGCTGGCCTCGAACTCACAGAGATCCGCCTGCCTCTGCCTCCCGAGTGCTGGGATTAAAGGCGTGCGCCACCACCGCCCGGCATCTTTTCCATTCTTATTCCATGTCTGGCTGTATAGCTGCATGGCTGGCCCCTGGAGTCTTCCTCTCTTTCTTGTGCCTCCATCTCTCTCCCCAGATTGCTCCTGTTTATTCTCTCTTCCTGCCAGCCTTGTCTGTCCTTTCTCCTGCCTCGCTATTGGCCAAATCAGCTCTTTATCAGACCAATCAGGTGTTTTAGACAAGCAAAGTAACAGCTTCACAGAATGAAACAAATGCAACATAAAAGAATATAACACATCTTTGTATCATTCAAACAAATGTTCCACAGCATAAACAGATGTAACTCATCTTCAAATAATATTCCTCAGCACCTTCTCCCGTCTTTTTTTTTTTTTTTTCTTTTTTCTTTTTTAAGGGGGTGGAGGTTGTATTTTGTTTTTTCAAGACTGGGTTCTCTGTGTAGCCCTGGTTGTCCTGGAACTTACTCTGTAGATCAGGCTGGTCTCATAGTCCGAGATCCGCCTGCCTCTGCCTCCCATGTGCTGGGACTAAAGGTGTGCGCCACCACTGGGCCCTCTTCCACCTCTTACTGGATCTGCTTTCCCTGTTCCCTATGCCCATCCCCTCCCTTTCTGCACCTTCACTTCCTACCTCTCAGCATCTCACCCTGCATCAAATCTGGCTCAGCTGCTGCCATCTTGCCTGAGTTACTCACCCCTTAACCTCAGCTTTAAAATTTTTTTCCTAAAATTCCCTTTCCCTAAACCTTAATCTCAGTGACCTTATACAGTTGAGGTTGTATTTGTGTAAATCATTTACTGTCTGGTAACAGGTAGGCTTCTACCTGTAGTGAGGGAGACAGTGTCCTCTATTGTTCACCCCAACATCTCCTAGAGTGAGTGGATAAAGGGTACTTAATGAAAGCTCATTGGCTGAATAAACTAGTAAACTAAGATACTCATTGGTAATTTGGAAACACAGGACTCACATGCCAGCATTGGCTGACAAGAGGCTTAAGGTTGCTCAACCTTGCAAACGGAACAGTGGAATCCAAGGTCAGCAGCACATAGGGCTGAACTCTGGTCACCAAAAGCTGTTCTCTTCATCCCTCCCTGGCACCATTTCCGTCAGAGGACACCCACCCTTTGCACAGCCCTGTGTGCTCACGTGACTGTGCCCTTCCTCTATGTAATGCGTGGACAGTCCCACTTCTCATCTCGGCACTTTGGGCCTGTCCTCTGAGAAAAGCTCAATTCTTTAAATGTTCCAGGGCACCTTCCTGAGAGTCACTTTGCTCCCTTCACCACAGATCTTGAGTGCACCTGCCAGCCAGAGTTGTAGATCTGGTGGGTACAGTGGTGCAAATCTACACTCCTTGCCTCTCAGGGGGATGGCTTGGAGGTCTGGGCCAGCCTATGTAACACTCTTAAGACCCTGACTAGAAGGACCCTCTAGCAGTGCTTTCTAGAAGGATCCCAATACTTGACTGACAGCCTTACTTTTTTGTGCCAACAGAAAAGACTGGAAAAAAACTAAATTAGGAAGTCTGAAGTTCAATGTGTCAGAATTCCACTGAGCCTAACCCACTACATATGAGTAGCCAGGGAGAATACAATTAAAGCTACTCTGCTGTCCTAATCAGACCCAACTGCCAGCAGGGTGTGAGCTTGTGCTCCTCAATGAGACCTTCCTTCCAAGGCTGATTGGTTCTGAGGTAAGCCAATCCTGTCACAGATACCAGTTCCTAGCTAACAAAGACCACACCTCATGCCAGTGGTTAAAAAGCAATCTTTATTTTACAAAATTAAAAACATAAATAATATTTACAAGCATCTTAAATACCAGCTTTAATACTTGACATTTTGTAATCATTTCAAATTCAGTTCCCCACAAGCTTTTAAAATGTAAGACCACTCCAAGCTGCTGCCATCTGTCTCCGACTTCCCAAGAAGTTTCTGCTTTCTCAAAATTGTACTTTCTGTAGTCATTAAAAAAAAAACCAGTGTGCTTCCTAAATGCCTAACCTTAAAAAACAATAGGCTTCTGAGCACAGCTGTGGGGATGATTCCAGGAGGTCTGAGGTGAACTCCCTTGCTGCCCTGCTCACAAGTACTCCTGTGACTTTTCTAAGACTCAACACTCCAGAGCTCAGCTCTAACACCTGGCCATCTCACGTTTCTAAATACAAGCAGGGAAAATGGAAGCTAAGAACACAGCTGATTGAGATCACCCTGAGGACAAAATGGACCTGGAGCATGACCTAGTCTCAGGCAGTTCATCTGAAAAGGTGACTTGAGGTGAGGCTCAGGTGCTCGCTAACCACAAGAGCGGCAGAACTCTCCAGATTTCAGCACGGCAGTCATGGAATCAATTTAAGTCAGGACTGCCGTCTGGAGAAGCACTGACGGCCGGCAGAGCCTGCTGCTGCTGCAGACCTACTTCCCAAGAACATACACCATGTTCCCTGGCAGCCTCGGCTCATCTGAATCTCATCAGAGCAGCAAAGCCAAAAGAAAAAGAAGGACAACACATAAGAGTCAGATACATTTTACTGGTTTGTTTCAGACATCCCGGAGGTTTAAAAAGGTGTCCACGGAGCCATGGATGCTGGTGGCAGGAGGCAGCAGAGGGGCGTGGGCACGAGGACAAGGAAGACTTGTTTACAGATTCAGAGCAAACCCCTTCTTCTGGATCTAAAATAAAGGCATCTTTAAACAGAAACCCAGTCTCTGCTCGGAGCAGACGCCGCAGGTCAGTGGCTGGGCGATGGCCCAGGCGGCAGGATGCACGTGCTGTCACTGCTGCATGTTGTTGATCATGGCCAGGATGCTCATCTTCTCCTGGGCAGAGTCCACATCCTCATTCTGCTTCTGAGCCACTCCCGTGCCCAGGCCATAGAGGCGCCCACAGTACTTGGCATCATCAATACTGTCCTCAAAGAATAGCTGCAGAACAGGACAGAAGCAGCTGAGAAAGGGGCCAGGAGTCATGCCACCTCCCAGCTTCTCATGCCCTGACACTAACTCAGCGACACCAAACACCTCCCACACAGGCACCGGGCTCTGCTTCCTAAACAGACTTGGTATTCCTATGATCTGTCACTGCTGGGAGGCCTGGGCTGCTGCCAGGCAAGGAAGTGACTAAGAACTCAGGTTTCCCAAGTCACTTCAACTCCATTCCATCATGGTTCCTTATTCATAAATGTCACGAAAACCAGGTGAGGTGGTGCACACATGGAATCCTAGCACCCGAGGTGAGGCAGAAAGTGACTGAGGAGACCAGGGACAATGAGCACTCACCAGCAGCTCAACCTTACTACTACTGGGCAAGAGCTGTCCAGTCCAATCACAAGATGTTGAGCACAGCCCTGGCCAGAAGCACCACCTCTGCTAAGTATAACAAGAAACATCTCCAAGGCATTACCAAATGCGCCAGTTGGCAACCATTGATCTAATACACTTGTTACTATTTTGATCAAAAATATTCCTAGAAGTCCTTGTGTTGAAGGCTCAGTACCAACTTGAAGGGTTACCAGGAAATGGTAAAACCTTGAGGAGGTGAAACTTAGTTGGAGGGAGTGAAGTTGTCAGGGCCAGCCCCTATACTCAGCCTCTTCCTCTCTTCCCAAGCCACCAGAGATGAACAGACCTCCTGCCAGACCCTAGCATTCTGATGCTCTGGCTTGCCAGAGCAGACAGAGCCAGCCAATCATTGGCTAAAATCTCTTAAAAGTTGTAAACCAAACTAGTCCTTTGAAGTTGATGGCCTCAGCTATTTTGTCAAAGCCACAGAAAACTAGTTAAATCAACACCTGAACTTGTAATAGTGCTTAAAAGCAGCAAAAAGAAATATAACTAGTTATGACAGCTCACAGCTGTCATCCCAGACTTTAGAGCCCGAGGCAAGGGTTCAAGGACAGGCATAAGCCTTTAACCCCTGCAATCAAGAGGCAGATCTCTATATAAGAATTTAAAGCCAGTCAGGGATACACAGTGAGACACAGAAAAACAAAAAACAATAAATTAAAAGAAAAATGTCAGGCTGGAGAGATG